TTCCACTTCGTCGGCTTCACGGACAAATTCTTCGACCGTCGAAATGGTTGGCCTATTTCTTGCATTCAAATATAATTTTGCTTTTTCTTCCCACTTATCGATTGCAGTCATCAACGTTCGTAATTCTGCTAGAGTTGTTTCTATTTTAAAGTGCGGAGGTATCGTCGTTCCTTTTTCTATTAATCTTACCAAATCTTCACGACTTACGGACTTTGGATCTTCTTGAAGGGTTTTTATCTCTTCAAGCCATTGCATTTGTGCTAATTTCTGCACAAAAAAAAAAAAAAAAAAAAATAGAAGAAAAAAGAAATATAATTTATAAGTAAAATTATACTTCTAAATGGAGATATCATAATCGATTCAAATTTATTTACCTGTTTTAAGCGTACAAGTTGTGGTAGTTCGATACATATGGAATCTCCAAACTCTATACACTTTTCTAGTTTATCAATATCACAATTGTCTTCTTTAGACTCCAATTTCTCTGCGTCACTTTGAAATTGTAATACCTGATCCAATATAAACTTTACGCCATCGGATTCTTTTAAGTCACAACATAAATTTGTTATTTCTTTATAAAATAATGTCAACTCTTCCACGGTTAATTTATATTTTGTCTCTACAGATTGCCTGGTCCTTTTAATAAGAGAAAAATTAAAAAGAAAAAAAAAGGGGGGAAAAAAAGGAAAAAAAAAAGAAAGGAGAAAAAAATAAAAAAAAATAAATAAAAGAAAAAGCACATTTTATAAACTGTACACAACAAATATGAAAACTTCTAATAAATATAAAAACTAACCTTGTACGTTGTTTGTTGTTTAACAATTGTTGCGCAACGCTTGCACATTTTTCAGCATCTTGTACGGCCGTCGTTAATGCTGTTAATAATTCACTATCTGGGAACTTTTTATTTTCTGCCTCATTCAAAAGTTCTTTCAACTCACTAAGTTCAACTTTATCATTCTTTGGATCCATGGCTTCTTTAACTTTAGTTACCCACGAGTCGAAAGACTCTGCTTTCAACTTTAACTTTTGTAACATGATTGGCAATTCGTCTAACGTATAACGATAGCGTAATGTATGTTTTTCTGGTGGACAATCACAAAGATCCGTAAAATGTCTTAAACAAACCAATTGGGAATTGTGACACGAACATGTAACTGCACTTAAAAAACAAGTTGTTTTACAGGCTTCACACTGTCGTTCATCGTCTGGTAATAACTCAAAGGCTTCGCGTTCAGCCTCTGTTACACCCTATAAAAAAGAAAATAATTTTTTAAAATAATTACCATATATTCGTAAAATTCATATGGCGTATATAGATTCTGGGAAACAAAAAATAAAAAATAAAAAAAAAAAATAAAAAATAAAAAAAAATAGAAAATAAAAAAAGAAAGAAAAAAAAAAGAAAAAACCTAATTTAGATTGAATACAACATAAACCAGATAAATCACGTATGAAGAAAACACATGTATCCATCTGTAATAACATTTATCGTTGAATATCAAAGAAATATGTCACCACGTGATTTTAAATAACTCTAATATGTTATTAAACATCGATATACAGATTTTATCGGCTTACAATAAAATAACAGATCATAAAAATTGCTTTGTATAATGTACCGTGGCAAAACACTGAAAACATAACCTCTACTCACCCGATGAAAGTTACATAATCAAGAATCATAGTAATAGAAAATAAAAACAGAAGAATAAATATTTTACGATCGAAAGGAATATCATTGAACGATTATTTTAATAGAAAAAATCGCGTTTGAATAAAATAAACATTATTTTTTTAACAGCATTAGCAGCAACATTAATATCAATTATAACGTGGACAATGTAAGACTTTGTTGCGATCTCGAATGGTGGCAGTATCAACGCGCACGCACACGAATTTTGTCGTCAGCTTGTGTTCGTGTAATACATGATTGTGTTAGTAAATGCGTGAATAAGTGAGCGAATGCCGAATGCCTCTTGGCATCTGATATACTACTTGATCCGAATACATCAGCCATTCTCATACAGTAAAACTATTATCTGTTCCGCTTAAATTCAGTTAATCCTGGATAAAACAAGCCGTATTGCACCATCCTGTGACTTAAAATTGTGTCTCGAATGTGTGAATAATGCAAAAAGAGAGAAACTATAAAGCCGAATTAAATAGAATTTTCTAGTCTCACATGAATGATGAAACAATCAAATGTGAAATGCAATTCGATTTTATTCCATTGATATTATCTTTCCTGGGCCAAAACTATTGTTGATAATATTTATCAATATGTAATGAAATAATTTATTATAATGATAAATTGTATGAATATATTATAAAAATGAATGGATAATGTAATTTAACGTAATACGATGAATGCATTTGAATATTAAAAAAAAAAAAAAAAAAACAAAAAAAAAAAAAAAACGTAGACCTGTGCGTTTTTTTTTCTTTTATATAATTTTAAAAAAATAATAATAATAATCATAACAACATACACACGCTGTCATTCAAGTGGAATAATTGAATTGCTAAACATTCACTGCGTAAATATCATAAACTCACCCATTCCAGCAAATTTTTTCGTAATTTTTTTTCGTCATCTACCATTTGTAACATATCATGATAAGTAGCCGTAGCAATTCCAATATCTAATGAATCGGGATCTAAAGACATTTTGCATACTAATTCGTCGTGAGAGAATACACAAAACCTCCTTAAATTTGAATAATGTGTGATGCACTCTCTTCCCATTTTGAGCTAATGAAAAAGGACATGAATAAAATGTAATAAATTATAAAATGTAATATATCTTAAGAAAATGCAAATTATATTAAGTAGAACACACCCAATCTGCAGGTGCAAAATTTACTGCCTCTGCGAAATTATAACCTTGATTGAAACCTGCATGATATGCTCTTGGAAATGTTACAACAAATTCACCAGCATGTTGATCAGTTCTAAATACTGATACTCCTATCAAATAAAATTAATATTTTGTAATATTTATTTTATATACCCTAATAAAAATATCAAAAGAATAATATCATTCGTATAATTTACCTTCGTTCGTTAAAATATTTGGATTCATAATTGTCACTAATTGATGTAACAAATCAGGCTGACTGTGAAATAATTCAGGTGCAGCAGATTTCATTGAGTGTTCAAATTTTTCTGCCTGAGAACCAGGCACACCGTACCATGTTTTTGGTTCTCCCCAATGTAAATAATTAATAGAATAACTCCAATGGTCTTCATTGTGCCAACAAAATGTTGCAAAACACATGCCAACGTACATCCATGGGACTTTCATGCCACTAATATCCGCATTGATATGACCTAATACACTGCCACGTAAAACCGGTAAATTGTTTAAATTCCACCAGGACTCGGCATATTCTTGATCACACGTAAATAAATTAACACTTGTTTTCGTTGGAAATCCAGATCCATGATCCATGGTATGTAAATCCGCGCCATATTCGACTGTAACATCTTCATCGATAGATGATACTATTCTCCAAAATTCTTTTTCTACTAACGAAGTCGGAACCATCTATAAATGATAAATGACATTTAATTATATATTCTAATAGATAAAGATTGAATATTTTTTTTTTTCCATACGTGTACTGGCATGTTGAAATAATCGCTTTTGAATTGATCTGCCATTTCGCCAAATTGTTGAAGAGTGTATTCCCTTTGTGCTTGTTCAAAACCAAAGGCCTCCATTGGTTTTGAAACTTCTTCCGCGACACATTTTGGACACCTCCAGTCTCCTTTAGGTATCTCTGTTAAAGGTGGCATTAAACAAAATGTGTGGTAGCTATCATCGCAGCCATCACACAGAAGCATATTTTCTTCATTGTCACCTCTCCCACAATTATGACAAATGTATTTTGCAAGCTAAACGAAGAAATACGTTTAATAAATACTTTTAAACGTAGATGATTGATTATTAGATAATAAAAACTCTACTTACTGGGTCAAACTCGTACGTTAGTTTAACGCCTCTAGTTTTGTTAGACTTCTTTGGTTCTTTGGTATTAAAACCAGCCATTTTTGGACCGGCTCCATAAAATTGTAATTTCTTAAGTTCTTTACTTTTATCATTATCTACATATTTGCTTCTAACAATACCTTCTTTGCAGTCTTGATCGGAATCATATTCTTCTTTGCAATCTTCTTGCTTGACGCAGACTTCTTGTTTTTCTTCTTGGCCAGAAAATCTCTTTGAACGACGTGAAAACTTCTCTGCTGGGGGTTTGATTTGCTGCCTTGATATTATTCCATGAGGTTTGTAATCACGATCTCTTTTCTCTTTTTCGTCAGAATCTGGTTCTATTTTCTATATATCAAAAATACAATAATAATATGAATGATCTATATATGTGCAATTAAATAAATAAAAAACTATATAATATTCGAATCTTACAATATCGATCAATGCTTTTCCTTGTTTAAATACGTCAAATGGATATAAAATTCTTTCGTAGTGATTTTTTAAAATACTTCCAACGCTTCTTCCAGAGGGATAACCTAATTTGTTGGCAATTTTCGCCCATCTTCTTTCCTTCGTTACCGTTTCTACACCTCCTATAACAAAGATTAAATAATAAATATTAACACGATTTTCTATAAATTGTAATATATATGACTAAATGTTAAAAAAAAAAAAAAAAAGAAAAAAAAAAAGAATTGTACCTTCGTCTGTGACAATCTTGTGCAAAGAATACAAATCCAAAGCTTTACGTTCTACAAGAGGTATTTTTAATGATGATCCTTGTAATTCCCAGAACTTAGCGATTTGATCTAAGAAATTGAGTTTTATCCTAGTTTTAGCTTCTAATTCATTTAATCTTTGTATACGTGGGACAAATTTGAATTTGTCAACATCAACTGCGAATGGTGGCTGCCAGTTCTATAAAGAAAGAAAAAAAAAATAAATAAATAAAGAAACAAACAAACAAAAAAAAAAAAAAAAGAATTGAATCATTAGTAATGATAAAAGATTGCAATACAGAAATAAAAAAGATCGCATTAAGAGAGACGGGGAAAATTTATAAATGTAAATCTAATGAAAAATGTAAAATAATAAAAATATTATGTAATAAGAAATTATTTCGACGAACAAATTATAGTTCGATCGAAATAACTATAGATGTGTATTATTTCTCCAGACATTCATTATTTCGATCAAGGAATGACCGTTTCATATCGATAAAATCGTTGGTTATGGTTTATTCAGGGGTTATAAAGAACGCCTCTCTCGTGAACACTATAGACGTCCCTGGTCCTTCGTTATACTACTCTACACAGTAATAGCGTATGGCGTAAGATATTATCGCAAAGAAACGGATAAAACTAAATTAGAACAATTTCCGATATATAAATAATCAGATTGATATTTGTTATTGTAACTTTTTTTTCTTCTTTCTTTTCTTTTTTCTTTTTCTTTTTTTGTCAAATAAAAATACTAAATATATACTCTAAACGAGGAAAAAATAAATATAAACGAACAACATTTAACATAATTTCACGAAATGAATAACATCGCGACATTGTGACACATGTCGTACATGACGTATATCGTAAATGTAATAATTGGAAGTCTCCTCGATAGATTCTTTACATTCATAAAATTAAATCTAATTTTATCTAGCCATATTTTTTCTATAATGTATAAATTTCAAATAATGTCGTAAGATAAGACAATACCAATCTTATATGATACAACAACGAATTAGCGAGAAGACCAATTAATCAATAAACCTTTACCATCAAGCTTTTATATATTGAAATGCTTCGGGACTTTCGTGTACTACTTCTCTTTCTTTTTCTTTTTTCTTCTTTCTTTTTTCTTTTTTTTTTTACGAAATAACAAGAAATTATACAATTATTAAAAAAAAAAAATTCGTTTATACGTACACATAAATGAAAAAAAAAAAAAAAAGAATTGTCTTAAAACTCGTAAAAAATGGTACAATAAAATTGTGATACACACACACACACACACATACACGCAAACAAAAGAAAGAAATATAACCTCAAATTTGTGATAGCGCACGTGCCTGTTAATTTATAATTTATAACAATTATTTTAACTTGTAAAAAAGTTACGAGCACCTAATACGAAGACGCATAAAATATATACATATATACATATATACATAAAGAAAAAGATTGATATGAAATTATTAAAAAATTATATAAAAATTTTCGCGAACGTAACCGAAACGTGTCTTTTAAAGGGCACACGATGGATATCGTGCAACGACGCCCTGCAACGACGTCACTTGTTCAAGCAGACTTCCAACGAAATGGTGGCATTTGTTAAACGCCATCTCTAGAAAACCATCATCTCCACCGTGAATGCCTAACGCATTCGACATGAAATTCATAGTTGTAGTAATAGTAATAGTAATAATAATAGTCCAGTAATGGTGCTCGTATAATAACAAAAACGATGATAAAAGTAACAGTAATATTGGACGAAATGACAGTATAATCGATTATAAGAAAGCTTATCCGGCACAAATACTTCACTAAATTTCTTAATCATCAGCCAAATAAATTTACCTTTTAACGGTGACATGTAATTTCAACAAAGAAATATGGCAGACCTTTTGAACTATGCGACCAATATGTTTATGAATGTAAACATCGTTATCTATGGACTATTATGTACATTTATTCTTTAGGGATGTTTTCAATGCAAAAACTATTTTGATAATAATTATCGCAATTCATTAAGAATTATTTCTATGCGCGCGCGCATACACACACACACAAGCGCGCGTGCGCACACGCGGTGTATATTAATACTATATATACCTAAACAGGATACAAAAAAAAAAAAAATCAAGATAGAGATCATGCCAAGACCAAAGAAGGGATCTTATCAAATTTGGAAAATGCACGATAAGGTTTCTTTCTAGTCTCTTACATATACATATATGTATGTGACATAGAAGAAGGAACTAGATTAGATATATTTGGTTTTACAAATATGTAGGTATACTATAATCTGTTCTTAGATTTGTTATTAGTCATAATAAAACAAAAACAAATACGAAACAAAACAACAACAAAAACAAAACAAAAAAAAAAAGAGGAAAAAAGTTCTCCCGACTAAAACTTTTCTTCTTGGACTTTTTATCGGCGCCATGACACCCGAATTAAAAAAAAAAAAAAAAAAAAAAATATATATATATATTTTTATTTTTACACGCGTTTTTTCCTCTCTTTTTTTTCTTTTTGATCCTTTTCTTTTTCTTTTTTTTTTCTTTTTTCGTCTACGAACAAATCTCTAACGATCGAAACTACCTGCGAGATTGTCATTGAGAGACGATTCCCCCCCTCTCTCCCACCTCTTCATCTTTTGCATGGTAGAAACAAAATGGTGGAAATCATTTCCTTCACAATCGCGTAATATTCAAACGAAAGAGGTTCGTTTCACTCGACGATCATTGACACACGTTTGAAGAAAATAGAGACACCACCAAGAGAACCAGAGAGACAGACAGACAGAAAGAGAGAGAGAGAGAGAGAGAGACAGAGAGAGAGAGAGAGAGAGAAAGAGACAGCAGACGGATACAGAAGCGCGTGCGCATGCGTTGATTAGAAAAATATTAGAAAAAGATCTATAAGAGGACTGCTGCAACGAGTAAAGATGAGCGAAAGGTGAGAAGAAAGGACACAACTATATGTATGTAAGTGCGTATATATAAGAAAGAGAGAGAGAAAGAAAAAAAAAAAAAAGAAAAAAAAAAAAAAAGAAAGAAAGAGAGCAAAGATGCATCTTCCCTTTTCCCTCCTCTTACCCTCTCTCTTTTTCTTTCTCTCTCTCACTCTCACTCTCTTTCTTTTTTTCTTTTTTATTTTTTAGTCTCTTATATACCAAACAATGCTCTCATGTGCGTTTTCGCCAATCATTTCGTTCGAAAAGAAACGCGTTTTTTTTTTCCCGAAGGTGACCGTTTAACATGGCGTCTCTTCCTTCCTTTCTTTCTTTTTTATTTATTTACATTATTTATTGAATAAACTTCATTAAAACGTTATAACGTTAAAAGAATACAAAACGATATTATCGAATATATCTATATATCTCTATTTTCATCTCTCTCTCTCTCTCTCTCTCTCTCTCTCTCTCTCTCTCTCTCTCACTCTTACTTTTACTCTCACTTTCTTTTCAAAATTTCTAAACGAATCTCTTTACCCGATTAACCTTCTTCGGATTACTTTTATCTAAAAAAAGAAAGAAGAAAAAAAAAAGCAGGGAGAAAAAATACCCTCTAACATTTTCCGCATTTTCCCTCCTCCTCCTCCTCCTTCTCCTTATTATCATCATCATCATCATCATCATCATCATCATCATCATCATCATCATCGATCTTTCAATTCATTTATAAAAAAAATCCCATTTCGAAGATACAAATCATGGAGATTCGATGATTCCTCTTGTTCCTTCTTCGATCGTCTCTGTTCGTTTTCGTCGTGAAGAAAAGAGAGAGAGAAAAAAAAAAGGAAGAAAGAAAAAAAAAAAACAGAAAAGAAAAGAAAAGAAAAGGTATACAGAAACGTGCACTCGTTATATCGTACTCGTTAAAATCAATCTCGTTACAAAATCGGACAAACGTTACGACACAAGGAAATGGATAAATCTCTCTCTCTCTCTCTGTCTCTCTCTCTCTCTCTCTCTCTCTTCATCTCTCTCGATTCTTTTCCGATGAAAAGTAGAGAAAAAATTAAAAAAAAAATTGTTTAAATTTAAACAAGAAAAAAGAAGAAAAACACAATATTAAAGAATCTTCGACCGATCTTCTGCTCACTCACTCACTCACTCACTCACTCACTCACTCACTAAGTCACTCACTCACTCACTCTCTCTCTCTCTCTCTCTCTATTTTCCCCCTTTTTTGTAACGATCTTTTCTCGTGGACATGTCTTCTATACCACAATATACGAAGAAATATACAATGTGTTACGTGGTTTGTTAGACGAATATGATACATGAAGAAAAAGAGAGAGAGAGAGAGAGAGAGAGAGAGAGAGAAAAAGAGAGAGACAAGAGAGAACTTGTTATTTTACACGCAATGCGTGTTTAAGTAATTACTTAAAGTCTAGGATTGGAATCGAGGTCGCGAAGCGATCGGAAGGTACAAGGGTAGAAGGGGAGAGGGGAAGGAAAGGTACAAGAGGAAAAAAATGGAAAAAAGAGAGGAGAAAAAAAAACAAGAAAAAGAGAGAGAAAAAGAGAGAGAAAGAGAGAGAGAGAGAGATCGATGCACATATACACGTACGTACACACGCGCGCGTAGTATACACGCGATGCTTTCGTTCTCTCATTGAAGAAAAGGACATTTAAGAATACGTGCGAATCTTACGAAAAAAAAAAAATATTTAATAAAAGATATATATATATACATATATACATGTGTGTGTGTGTGTGTATGTGTGTGTGTCTATAGAGAGAGAGAGAGATAGAAAGAAATATCGTACGTGACGTTACTCACGGGCGGAGGTTTGATCTTGCAGATGCCAGATTTCTCAGCGATCGGTCTTATTTTCGCGATATATCCAAGAGGGTCGAGGAACTCCTCAGTACTCGGCTCAAATACAGGGGCTTCGGGCGGTATAGAGAACTCGAAGTCCGAGTCAACACGATCACAGGCCATGTCCTGGGTATGACAACAATATGCACCGAAACGATCCTCAGTAGTAAAGTCGGAAGTAGCGTCGTGGTATCTCGATACCATGACTCTTTACTTCCTTCCTTATTTAATAAGAATATCGTTCTTATGTCGTTTGCCGTTGTTCTATATTAAATGCGAGAGAGAGAGAGGTATATATATATGTATATATATATATATATATATATATGTATGTATGTATGTGTATATATATTTAAAAACTATGGGGAAAGAAGCGATGACGGTCGATCGGTCAGATCGGTCCTGAGGCACGTTAAAGACGCGCCCGTGTCTCCGATGCCAATTCCTCGCTTTTGCTCTTTCTCTTCTCTCTCTCTATCTCTCCTTCTATCTATTCTTCTCTCTTTCTCTCTTTCTTTCTTTCTCTTTCTCTCTCTCTCTCTCTCTCTCTTTCTTTCTCTCTATGCCTGCCCGATTCTTTTTCGTCGCAAACCAACGCGCGCTTGCGTACACGTTACTTCCTAAACGTTTTAACAAAATCACATGAGACAAGCGTTCCTTTGGTATACATTCTTAGCAGGAGCACCATCTCCTCCTCTTTACTACGATTACACGATCGCGTATGCTTGACAATGAACGCGAAGAAACGATAAAAGGACACATGGACGTATCTATCCTCGACATCCGACGCGGAGTCCCGCACACGAGCGACTGGCCTGCTTCGTGTTTCTACAATCCCACCGCTACCCTCCTGCCTCCTTACCACCCACTTCGTAACGCACGACGCTAAGCATTACCGTAGCGTAGGAGTTAAACTGCTGCGCCATCTTATTCTACGATCTGATTCGTCGGTACTTCGATCTGACCAATCAAATTGTATTTTATTTTCTTTCTGACTTTCTTATTGGCTCTTTATCAAAAATTGTTTCTATTCGATTCCAAATGGCTCAATAATATTTATGACAATCTATCATTCGTTGATTATTTCTTTTACAGTTTCTTCTTATTGGTTAAGAAATATTTCATTAAATTTCGCTCACTCTGAACGTTAAATTCTATATCGTTTTGCGCATTGGATATATTTTAGTAAAATCGAATATTTATTTTCTAACATTATAAAATCGTTTACTAAACATTGATTTTATATACCATTTATTATATGTATATATATATATATTTGTTTCTTCGCATTATCTTTATAGTTATAAGTAATGCGAACTTAAAATTTTTAATGTGATCTGAATTTAGCGCCTTTAGAATAGCAAAAAATCGAATACAATGAAGTCTACTGTATATCGATTTAGTAGCAGTGCACTGTTTCAGTGTGTTTAGTTGGAGTTTCAGTAGGTAAGTGTTTATATAATATTCGAGTAATTTTTAAGTAATTAAATGTTCAAGAAAAATATGTGAATTTGATAATATAATAATATATATATATAAAATAAATATATAGCACAATTATAAAGAACTATTACTTTTTTCTTGATTACTTGGTTATGATAAATTTCATTCTTTTTTTTTTTCTTTTTCTTTTTTTTTTCAGACATTCTTCACAATGGGTCTGAAGTTTGGAAATTTGTACAAACTAAGAGGGATCGTCTATTTCCGTTTAAGCCCTCATGAACAGAAAGCTTTCAAGGGTTTTTTATCAGAGGGTGTTCCAAATACTATTAGACGGTTCCATAGCAGTGTATTTCGCTATTTACCAGGTATGTTAATTAATCTATACTAATCAAATATTATAATCATAGTAAAATTTAATATGATAAAAGTAATAATGTTATTTTATACTAATTAAAACTTTTTTTTTCAGTGTTTGCTTTAAACTATATAATATACTTATGGGCCATAGAAAAGCATCACAAATTGAGCCGTAAAGATCATAGTCTTTACAAGGATGACGTTTAAATTATTTAAATAATTTAAATATAAATTAACAAGTAGTATTTACCTCTCATCAAAGTTGTTATAATGTGTAATACGATGGAAGTTTATTTGAATGTATATATCAATAAATTAATTTATCCGTTTAAACTATAAATACAAATCCATCGTTGTATTCGTAAATTGTTATAATCTCGATTACGTAACATTTAATATCCTTGGATCCTTTAAATTCATATTAATTTTTTTTTTTTTCTATAATTTTTATTTACGATAAAAAAATTGAAGTAATTTATCCTTAAGCCTCGAGATGGCGCCTAATGAACGAATAAGACAGAACAGATAAGCCACTGACGGATATTGAATTTTTCAATGCCTGCGTTAAAAGAGTATAAACTTTTGCTTCTAATAAAATTACAAGTTACAAATTATAATAAGATAGGGAAGACAGATTAAAAGGATATTATATTTTAATTGATATACGAATATCATATGTAACATAAATTATGAATAAAATTAACAATTAGAATAACGTTAAAAATTATTCTATCATAGTATAACCCCCAAAAAGATATTACGTTACTGTTAAAAGAAACGATCGTGACGACGTAGAGATCGAAGGAATGAACCAATAGAAATCGACGTATCAAAGATCGCACCTCGGTAAAAGGGGTATAGAGAGGTGAGAAGAGTTAAACCGCGAAGTAAAGAAGGTAGAAGAATCAAAAGTAGTCGTGAGAAATTTTCACTTGAGTATGGTTGGGACTAAGATAGAGGTGTTCATTCCTTGAAAAAGTTTCTTCCTTTGTGTATGTGAGGAGTGAAGTGTGTGTGTATATATATATATATATACATATATATATATATAGAGAGAGAAACAATTATTTTAATTAAAAATAGGTAAGTAATTAAAATCTCTAGGATATTTTTCGTTTGAGTTGCCTGTCGTTTCGGCGGCCATCCGTCTTTCGTTCGTTTCCTTTCATTTCCTTTCCTTTCCTTTCCTTTCGTTTCGTTTCGTTTCGTTTCGTTTCGTTTCGTTTCGTTCATTCGCTCGCTCGCTTGTTCGCTTGTTGCAAGCAGTACATGACCTATCGTCATCGGCTCGCGACACCTACAGTTCCTTGTAAGTTTAATAGCAATACTGTATATAACCATCCTACACATTCACATCGTTTCCGTGAAAGAACACGCCTAAATAAAAGCAATCGCTGTGTCAAGGTTTCCTTCTAAAAGGATATCACTTTAACGCCATAACGGAATTCAGTGCAATCCTGGATTTCTTTATCCTTTACGGAATTCCAATTGATATTCCAATTGGTATTCGTTCGGAAGGCACACCTGTTGCTCTCCAGTGTGTTCATTTAGGATTACTCGTTAAAATAATTCCTAGTGAAAATCTAAATCAAAACGATTTCCATTACTTTTATTCCCTTTGTTTTTTTCTTTTTTCCTTTTTTTTTTTTAGTTTTTTTTTTTTTTTACTCCTAGATTTCGTTCTTTTCTCGTTTATTGTGTATTTACATCTGCCGATAGTGTAAGTTAAGAAAAAAATTCGTGCACCGTGGAAATTAGTGTGTAACTTTTCTTATTTTTCTCTTCTTTTACATCTATCTTTTTTCTACTTAAAATGAAGGATCAAATAGAGTGACCAGATTGCCAACGTATGCATAGGTGGGAATTCTAATAGATGAACTATTTAACCGATCGGAGAGAAGGGAGATTATTTTTCTTCGGTTTTCGCAGGTACATATATTATTTTGTATATTTAACAAATAATTATTAAAAACTAATGGAAAGATAAATTATTCGAATTTATCTATATTTACGTGAATATGTCTATCGTCTATTACAACTATACATTCAGATATATAATATTCTCTATCCTTTAATGTTGTACGTGACTTTCAAGTATATTTATTGTATGTATACATATAATATATATACACACACACACACACACACACACGTGTTGAAAAGATAATAGACAATATTTATATATTTTTTTTCTTTTTCATGTACTAGTAGCGTAGATACTTATTTTTTTTTTCTTTTTTTTTTGAATTTGTAACACCTTAACAAATTGAAATATGCTACGTTTCAGAAAACAATTCGCATTGTTATCTCGATATCATTATCACTGCAGGGTGGTGACTCATTAGTTCGTAACACGATCGATCGATCGTTTCTTTAAAAAAGAAATCTATCATCTTTATTTTTCTTATATATCTTATCTGTTTAATCCGGTTAACTACTTTTAATGAAATATAAAAATTCATTTTTTTTTTCTTTTCACTTTCCTCCTACTCTTTTAATGTTTACTTTATGGTGATATTTAACCTGGCGATTATATATTATATTTATATCTAGCATGAGATCGCTTTTTATTTCGTGACAATCGTCATTCTCTCTCTCTCTTTCTCTCTTCCTCTCTCTCTCTTCCTCTCTATCATACACACACGCTCATAAAATCATGATACTTTTACACTCGATACTCAAGTGTAAAAATTCTTATCTATTTAGAGATACGATCGACGGTGTTTCGGTGTTAATTATAACGAAGGATATTACTGATTTCCACTAAAGTCGTAGCGACGAGAGTAGGTTAAGCTTAAAAAAAGAAAATCAGTTTATTTATTAAAATTACAGTTAAATGCTACGTAATTATTATTTTATATAATAATTATCTATGTGTATATATATATATATATATATTTCTTTTCTTGTTTTCTTTTTTGTAATAATCATTTCTAATGATATTTCTAATCTTTGATATTACTAAGAACACCTGTAATACACGCCCACTAAGTAGACCTACGCGTGTCATTGCGATCACCATGACATAGATCTAAGATACTCAATGATGAAAACATTTTATGATAGAAGACTCATCGAGAAAATTCTTTCGATAGTTTCAAACGATTCTTTCTTATATTGACACATAATATATACTCGATCTTGAGAAAAATTATTCTTTGATAATAATTTTATTATCCTTTGGATTATGACATCATTAACGAATACGATATAACCTCCAAAAATATTTTCATTGACAATTTGTTTTCAAAGTATATATATGTTTGTGTGTTGTATCAAAAGCAAAAAAAGGAATCGCATTAATAATTAATCGAGAAAAAAATAGAAAAACGAATACAAATGGTCCTTTCAACATATTCCTTTCTTATTATATTACATATATATAAATAAGTAAACAAAGTAAAAGAAGCAAGACTAATTGTAACAATAATTAATATAAAAAGTATAGATTTTTAATATAAATCAATCATCAAAATGGCGAATTTTAAATATCTAATTTTAGAACGATTCTAAATCTACGAATAACTATAAAAATATTGAACAAAAGAATTGATTGACAAAACGTAATACTACTACTACTACTACTACTACTACTACTAATAATAATAATAATAATAATAATAATAGTAATAATAATAATAATAATAATAATAATAATAATAATAATAATAATAATAATAATAATAATACTAATACTATGACTAAGGCTAATATAAAATACTAATGCGTAAATATAAAAATATATTGATAATATAACCATAATCATCTCTCTTTTCATTACTTCTGGCTCATTTCTCTGGAAAGTGTCGTGTCACACAAGCCCGTATGATGCTTTATACACTATATATATCTTTCATATTCTACTATATACGTTATACTCTTATATACTAGTTATACGGGCATACAGTTGAATCTTTTTATTTTTCCTCCTTTCTTTTTTTTTTCTTTTTACCTTTTTTTTTCTCCCTTTTTCTTTCTTTTTACCTTTTTTTTTCTCCCTTTTTCTTACTTTTACCTCCTACTCTTGGTGCAAATCTCTTGACATGATGACACACGACGTGACACTGGATGACCTTAGGCAATTTCCTACGCCGTTAAATAACGCATCTTCTCGATTTTATGCGCGCGCACTCGTTCTCTCGTAAGTACTGCACGTTCTCTCTCTCTGTCTCTCTCTCTCTCTTTCTCTCTCTCTCTCTCTCTCTCTCTCTCTTTCTCTCTCTCTCTCTCTCTCTCTCTCTTTTTTCTCTTTCTCGAAACGAACAATACAAACTTCCATTATTTATTGTTGCTTCGTGTCTAACCCCCTGCAACGATCATTCTTCATTCCTCGCAGAGTTTTTCTAAAACGATCATGAATTATCTTTGAATCCACGTTAATGAAATATAAAAAGGAATTAACACGAATAAAATTTTTTTTTTATTCTTTTTTTGAGGTTAGAAAATGACAATAACTATATCTAAGATTTAATTTAATGAAGAATCAGTCGTTATAGTTAACAATCGTGTTTCGAAGTCTCAATAATGAAAAATGAAAAGGAGTAAAAATAAATACTTGGTAGAAAACACTTTTTTTTTATTTTTATTTTTATTTTTATTTTTTTTTTTTTTTTTTTGAAGATATATTTCGAACAAAATATCGATCATTAAAGTTATTAATCGTGTGGAAGCATTCGGAGTGCATTCATTCGGTCCATTCACTGGAAAACTTGTTCAACACTGCAACACGAATTGGAAGGTATGCGAGAGGCACATTGCTAACTTTCTTTCCACTTCTTTTTTTTTCTCTTCCTTCGCTATGTACAAGTATGCGAGCGCACGCGCTGTGTGTGTGTATATATATATATATTTTATTCACGCATATGCGTCCAACCACGAGGAACACGCTAACTTCTACTTACCTAAACTTCTGTTGTTTACTTTCGATCAGATCTTTTTTAAGATCTAAACTTTCTTATTTCATTTTTGTTACGTATCTATCTTGTTTGAATCGGGTTTTATAAGCGCCGCCATCTGCATTCGAGTTTTGTTACTATCGTATGTTTTATATAATCGATTTATCGAATAAGGATCATTTATTAAATGTCGGGATTACTAGTTTTTTTTTTTCCTAGAAAGATTTCATTTGTTTCAAATAAGTTGTCGCTTAGTCAATTGTAAATAATAAATTAGTAGTTTATTCTTCGTTCGATTTTTATAATCGAATGATCCAAGTAGTGATCAAAATATTGATTAATAAATTGTCCTTGAAAAAGATTCAATTTGTATGAAATAAAATCGATCTCACGTGACTAATTCGATTTGTCTAATCGAATAATCTTTCAAATTTAGATAACTAATGTTTTTAAAAAATAAATAACTTGTATGCGGTAATTAAATACCAAAGCATAATAGATATCTATACGGTATCTTATCATTCAATTTACATTTACTGTACATAACAAAATGATCGCTAAAACTTATAATTAGATAATTAAGTGATTGGCTAAAAAAAGAAAAAAAAAAGAAAAAAAAAAAAAAAAAAAGATAAAAGAGAAAAGAAATTAATTTGTATAAAATACAATTGTCATGTGGCTAAGTGTACCAACATAATAGATATCGCCGGTAGTTTCTTCGAGCGACCAAGTTACGAGTAAGGAGTAACGGTTGTAGGATAAATGAAAAACACGAAACTTCCGCATAAATTCCTGCACGTCTACGGGCAGTTCAGTCAATGCCCTTATGTTGCACGTCTTGCATCTGTTTAATTAAACGGTTGCTCGAGCATAAAAAAAGTAATGCGTTTTAATCTGTCGCGATTTAAACGTTATGGATTTTTTTCTTCCCCCCACCCCCCCAATGATATGAAAACTAACAATAACCTACGGATTTTAATAATTTTTGTTACGTAATTGCTCATATAAGTATTTATTTATAGGTTAGAATTATACGTCGTCTGACTCGACATCGATTTTATTCCTACATCGATTTTACTCCTATATCGAGTGTGACTCGATATCGATTTTATATCTAAGTCGAATATGACTCTACACTTTCTAAGGTAGTTACCTTAGAAACTTTCTATAATAATGTTTCATTAAAAATATTTTCGTTAGAATAAATTACGTGTGTACCATATATATATATTTTTCTACTGGAAAACTATTAAAATACAAGAGTTTCTTAAGTAGATTAAGTAGATTAAGTAGATCAAAAAAAAAAAAGAAAAAAGAAGAAAAAGAAAAAGAATGCGGAAGTTACAGATTTAGGCTACCATTAGAAGATAACGTTATCGATTTCAGCTAAATATCCTTGAACAAACGAGAAGTAATATTTAATTTCATTAGAAAAAATTCTCGTAAATTTGATTTACTTGGAAACAATTTTGTTGTCGATTCTATGCAATGTTAAAAAATTTTTATTGAATTTTTCTCACTTTTGAACGAATAGAACGTCGAACGTGGTGTTTATGTCAAGTACGTTCAAGGCCGTGCTTATACTACGTTCTCTGCGACACGCATTCCGTTAGTAAATTTTTCTCTTTGAGGTGTGCCTGCATATAGAAACGACTACTTGGCTCCTTCTATCGATGATTCGTGTATTGTTTTCTCTTTCTTTCCTCCTGCTTCTGTCTCTCTCTCTCTCTCTCTCACTCACTGCTTCACGCGAACAATAATATCTTCTTTTTTCTGTTGATCACCCAAATAGTAATTGGCATAATTGCTTCTTTTTTCTTTTTGTTTTGTCTTTTTTTTTCTTCGTTTTTGTTTATGACAACTTCAATGAATATCATCGAAAAAATCTCGTCTATGCTAGCATTAAAGTCTCTAAAATAGTCACGTTGAAATCCTATTCATTGTGCATTAGTTGAATACGCGAGTCGTTCACGAACTCTACTATTAGAATGATTTATCAGTTCCTTTTTTTTTCCATCGAAGCACTCGAACGACTTTTAACTTTTTATTACATTTAAAAATATGTTTCTTTAATGATTAGGCTTAACACCGTCAAATGGGGAAAAAAAAAAAAGAATTGATAGAATCTATAGATATAACTCTATCAATTTTTATTTTCTCTTTATTTTGTGTAGTTAAATGATTTGGCAAATGGGACGAGTTCGTATAAGTCATAAAAAATAAATAATTTTGACAAAGAATAATTTTTCTTAGAAAGCGTGCATTGATGTGAAGGGGAAAAAAAACAGAAACAGTGTGTTGGATGTGATTCAACGTTGAAACGTTAGATGGGTGTTTGAAAACCGTGAAGGAATCTCTATTGATTCTCGTTAAAAACTTGTGTTTCTTTGATATTTTATAGTTTCATACACAGATCGTCGTTATCCTGGCTTATACCTTTTTCTCTTTTCTCGGTTAAAGTCATTGAAAAGATTTATGAAAATTATCTTTCAAAAGTGTAAAAGGAGGATAAGAGAGAAAGAGAGAGAGAGAGAGAGAGAGAGAAAAAGAGAGAGAGAAATAGCTTCGAGCTTAGTATCACGTCATGTTTTTTTATTTAATATTTTTTTTTCCCCTTTTAATGAGAAAAAAAATCAAGAGAGCTGCGGATAATGGTCGAAGTGATATCCTTACAAAAGGGACACTCGATATACTTGACTTTTTAACAATGTCTTCCAACATTCTAAAGTTTCCCACGGCACCTTATCTCTCTCTCTCTCTCTCTCTCTCTCTCTCTCTCTCTCTCTCTCTCTCTTTAGTAAATTGCAACATTACTTACTGTTGCGAGCCACGCAGCAGTGAAAGCATTCGCTTATGTTAGAGAGAAGAACTTGCCCTATGACGGTCATTGTCTTAATACGCAATATTTATATATATATATATATATATATATATATATATAATATATAACATACATACATAGATATATTTACATACACACACACATACACACACATATAATAGACACACATGACTCGTGTGAGTATATGGATGATGCACTTCTTTTTACAGTACATAAGAACTTTTACCTTCTAATCTAGATGTAGATACGTATATGATATACTTACATATACCTATTTATTCGTGGTGTATGTAAGAGCGTACTTCTAACGTATGATATACATATACGTGTTAATTCGTGATCCGTGATCGATGCCATCAAATTATTTACTTTTATATCGATAGGACAAAAAGAAAGATATTATCAAAGAAGCACTTTGCGTTACAATCAAGATAGATAAGGGAAAATATCTCACAATCTCTAAGTTTACTTTTCACTTTTGAATTCTTCGAACGACATTGGCAAAAAGCAAAGCTATTACAGTCATAAAGTATAATGGATTTGGCTATTGTTCGTTAAATAGAATTTTAAATGGACCATAAATTGTATTGTACCGAACGATTAATATACGCTCTAAATAAGTTCTTCGTCATCCTGATGGAATCATAAATTGTTAAATCTTGTATATGATTAGAGTACGCTCTAAAAAAAAATTTTCCATCTTGAATGTGCCATAAATTGAAACGTTCTTAAATGATTAAATTAGTAATGATATTCTTTAAATAATTTTGAAAGTTTAAATTGACGATACACACTCATACACACTCATACACACCCATTAAAGAAATTCGAAACATGCCTAACGAAACGAATTAGGCTCATTGGAATTTCACTTTGGTTACATGCTGACTTTCATGCGATACCAAGTATGGGTCCCATGACCCGATGCTAGCCGGATATAGCTAACAGGCATACCGTTCAACTATAGACCGTCATCGTGATATTGAATCGTTATTTCGACATTCGAAAAAAAGAAATTTAATTAAAAATAATCTTTATCGTATATCTATCATTTCTCTATCATCGTTATTTTCTATTTTACGATTTGATGTTTCAGGCAAGATTGATCGTGTTTGAACTTCCAATATGCCATACTATAACAGCAGCCATAGTCCAGCAGTTTATAACAAAGGTATTGTTAATATATTAGTTGGTAAATTATATGGTATTTGAAAATATATATTAATTATATCATCCATCATGAATTAACATTAATAAATATTAAATATCGATATTAAAATATAATAGTAGTAATGATAATAATATAAATTATTTATGTTAAAAAAGTTAAAAAATATTTGTTCTTTCCCAAAGATGGTGGCTCGAGCGGACCATCGAGTACTTCCGGTGGCCGTGGTAGTAGTACCGAACCACCTACATATATGATGGAACATTTAGCGACATTTACAGTGACGAAAGAGATAGGTATTGTTTATCCAGCTGATGGTATGCGTCGTCTTTTGCAATTAGAAAAAAGCAATGGTATATGGAGTCAAAAGATGCAACTTCGTTTAGAAAGAAACTGGGTTCTTATCATGGACAATGAAACTGGGGTATATTGATATATATACATTGATATATATATATATATATGTTTTCTACCGAAATCAATATCGATTGAATTTTTAATAAATATATTTAACAATCGTATTCGTTTGGAAAAGGCCGTGATGGAACGATTTCCAGCGTCTTTGATTCAAGAACCAACTGCATTTACATCAAGAGACCCAATGGAGATGTACAACAACATTTTGGTATTTTCGGTCGCTGACGACAGTGGTTCTCAAAGAGCAGAAATGCATATCTTTCAATGTCAAAGCGTATCCGCTCAAGACTTGGTAGAGGATTTGAAAATGCTTCAAATGGGGAAACTCGTGCCAGGTGGTTCGCTTAGAGGTCCAAGAGGTCAAATTCCACCACCACCTGCGTTACCACCACCTGAACCTCCATTGAATGGTGTGAATGTACGCGAACAGGTGTCTGCTTTTAATGCGACTAATGGTGAATAATATATCACGCGTTATTTTATTCATACAAGATAATTAAAATTTTGTACCGTTGCTTGGATTATAATTATTTTCATCTTATAGCCGATGGCCAGAACGATATATCTCGCGAAGAAAACAACGACGAAGTTTCTTCAACGTCGTCAAAAAAATACGAACGTGACGTGACGATATTATATCATTGCTTCGACGACATTGAAAAATTTATTGCACGTTTGCAATATGCTGCAGCTGCATCGAGAGAATTGGAACGTCGACGGCGTAACAGAAAGTCGAAAAAGAGAAACCTGGGTGATGGCATGTTAACGATGAGAGCAAAGCCACCACCAGAGATGGAGTTCATCGATATCTTTCAAAAATTCAAACTTTCTTTCAACCTTTTGGCCAAATTGAAAGCGCACATTCACAATCCCAATGCACCGGAACTGGTACATTTTCTTTTCACGCCACTTGCTCTGATCGTTGATGCATCTCACGATACGAATTATGAACCGAATTTACCAAGCAAGGTTGTATCACCTTTATTGACCAAAGAAGCAGTCAATCTGTTAATCAATTGTGTTACCAGCAAGGAAACTGAACTCTGGCATTCTTTTGGCGATATGTGGCTCATTCCTCGTGACCAATGGAAAGGACACGTACCACCTTATCATCCGATCTTCATGGATGGTTGGTCACCGGAATATCCCATACCAGAAGACCGAGATCATGATCATCTCGCTTCCCTTTTGAATGCTGACAAGCAAAAGAGGGATGAACTTCCTGAACAACAAAACGATCCTTATTACAATCATCGAGACGTCGACGAGTCACATTACAGTAGCGATTATCTCGAATACGATATCAGAGAGGATAGAGCTAGTACCGAAAACTTTGATAGAAATTATGCAACGACCTCGGAACTTTATGCAAGAGAAAAAAGAGTCGAACAAACCAGAGCTCACAGTGATATATCAGTAGATTCCATTGAAAGAGCACCTAGAGATGCCGCCATTGAAAGAGCTCAAGAAGTTTGGTTGGATGAGCTCGTAAATAGAAATGCTAAGATCGTTCACGTTACTTATCCTAGAACGGCCAACAATGATAAAGAATTGACGGTTGTCAGAGGTGAATATCTGGAAATATTCGATGACAGTAGAAAGTGGTGGAAAGCGAGAAATTCTAGGGGTCAAGTTGCTCATGTGCCACATACTATTGTTACGCCTCACAATCCATCTCAGCCTGCTGAAAACGATGTATTTAATAATCCATTATATACAAGTCGATATCCTAGACAAGGACATGGCTATAGTTACGAAGTGAGAAATTCAATTTTTAATTTTTCTTATCATTACATTTCAGTTTAATTTTGTTTATATTAAATCAATTAATATCCATTAATATCTATAGGATTCTGAAATTGAAAGGACTAGTACTAGTCCGGGGCCAGAAGCAGCTCATCGAACTCATGCGATTCCACCACCAGCATCCGCGGATTGGGTGAGAAAAGAACGTCTTGGGAAAAAAGGTGAATTTCGTTATTTTTAATAACGTCGTTCTGTCTTCTTGAATAAATTGTCCTCGGTACGCTTTGCTTTCGATTACGTGGACATTTTTGTGTCTCGCATTAAAATTTCATTGTGTTTTTCTCTCTATCTCTCTCTTTCTCTCTCTATCTCCATACTTGTTTAAACGATAAGAAAATTATCTAATTACAGATTATCACTGTAAAGTTTACTGCGAGTAGCTGTTATTTTCTTTTTATAATGAGCTCTTTAAAATTGAATATTACAGTAATGCATCTTTTACATAATACTTGATATATTATTTTATTTAATGTTTCTGTATATATAATAATAATAATAATAATAATAATAATAATAATAATAATAATAATAATAATAATAATAATAATAATAATAATATGTGTACGCGCGAGTAACGTCTAGACTGAACAATTAAAATCGTTATCGCTACGACCACAGGGTGATTTGGATTTTATTAATAACCCTGGATAATGTGAATTTTTTTTATTTATTTTTTTTATTTTTTTTTTTTTTATTCTTTTAAAATCTTATCTATATCTCGCAGATAACTGTCGATTTTTTTATTTTCACGTTTATACATTCATTAATTACAGAAAGATTTGTTAACTTCAACCGGATCATTTCTTATGTGTATTTTATTATCTGAGATATTTCTTAGCAATCTTTTATGACATATAATAAAAGTATGAATCTAAGTTTGAAAACATATATATATATATATATATATATATATATATATATATATGTATATATATATTTTCTTTATATATATAAAAAGAGAAATACCACCCTGTATATAATATTAAGATTGATTACCTTTTATTTATACTAAATAATGGATTTCATTATAGAAGACATTTAAAGTTCTTCTTTAACCAGATTAATAAGTTAGTTTACATATATCACCAAAATATTAGTTGGTGAACTTGAACGATGCTCTCAAAATTAATCCAACTTAATTTAATCAATTCTAACAATTAATTTATCTTTAAGTATATGGAATGTTTTTTTTTTTATAAGTTAGTATATTAGATATAGTAGATATTATTATTTAACAATTAATAGAGAAACGCGTTATTTCCATTGACTACATATTGTCATATCTTTGTTTTTTCTTTTCTTTTTTTTTTCCTTTAATTTTATTTTCTTTTTTAATACCTCCATAAGATACTTTATGTACGAAGTACGTACAAAGAATCTCGACTAACCAAATTTACTTTAGCAAGATAAAATAATTTGCACATAGACTTTTAGAGAAAATATTGTAATACAACTCAAGTCTGTAGGGTATTTAACGACTGGCTCTTTTTTTATATCTATATTGTGACCATATTAATTAAGCGAGTCATTCTGGATGCATATTTCAAGAACAAAAAAGTTGCTGCAATTTATAAAAGCGTTAGACTAAATAAACAAATGAAATAATCATTTTATGAACATATCAAAAAAGGTACGATATTTTTAGTTTGACTTGAAAAGATTTTGTCATTTTTTTGACGATTAGCAAAACATTAATTTGTGCTTTAACGTGTCGTCGCATGTATCTGTATGTCTTCGTGTAAAGCAGCTAGTATAAATTATGCATCGACTTGCAGAGAAAGTAGAAAATAATTGGGTGGAATTAATAATCTAATGGTTATCAATAAAATTTATTTTCCCGTCCAGTAAATTATGTTATTATATGTACTAAAGTTTTTATGAACACGTTTTTTGATATTACAAGTTAATGGAATTTGCCTTTACAATTAATTTGTTTATTCATTTCGTAACGATTGTCAAAATATATTTCAATAAATGTTGTGTTCAAGGTTTGGGAATGCGATCCGTCCAGTATTTCATTGCACTGTAATTAATGTAAATCACCTTATGAACAAATATATATGATTACAATATTTATTCGTCTAAATGTTATTGTATTGTCCAATCCTGTTGAAAGTATGGAATATTGTTTTGTGGGATAAAATTTGATATAAAGATAAAAAAAATTCTTTGTTTGTGTAAGTGCTTTTATCAATAGCGAAAAAAAATTTCATGTTTGTAAAATGTGAATGTATAATTGTATTGCATATTTAAAAATCCGCAGAATAAATAAAAATCAAATTCTATGCTTGCTTTCATATTCCATGAACGTGTAAAAAAAAAAAATAACAATCGGTTGAATATAAAAAATTGAAGATAATCAATTAATTTAGAGAATTTGACTACATCTAATGAAGTTTCAAGTACAAACAACAACATATCCAGTAACACATTGGGAAAAACTTCAACAATGGAAAAAAAGAATGGCCCGATAGTTATAGTCCAACCATTACAAATGACAACTTTAAAAAATAAATTGAAAAACAAATCCAATGCACTAAAGCCACCAACACCAATACCATCAGCATCACCAGCTCCACCAGCATTGCAAGCACCATCAGCATCACCATCATTACCAGTATCATCTGCATTATCACCACCACCACCACCTCCACCACCTCCTCCAGTTCTACAAACTCAAAAATCAACAACATCGACGGGTTCCAACAAATCAGAATTGTATAAAAATAATAAATCTTTGGCTGGTAAGTTTTCAAAATCAATATACTACAATAATTATACAGTACAATTATTTTTCATAATTAATTTTAAGGTACGTGTAATCAAGATCAAGTTCAGGAGGAACTTAAACATGTGTTAAACATGTTTAGACAAAAAAAACGTAGCCCAAATATTCTTGAAATGCAAGCAACCGTTTTACATCAATATTCTACTCCTCGTGAAGTTCAATCTTGGTTAAGTGCAAAAGGATTTTCAGATAAGTAAGTATAAAAAATTATTATATATAAAAAAATAATAATAAAATATTAAAGTCATAGTTAATTTTATAGAGTTTGTAAACAATTGAAAGATATGACTGGTGCTGAAATATTTAATCTAACAAAACGACAATTGGAACAATATTTTGGCCCTAATGAAGGTGAAAGGCTGGAAAAACAGCTCATCTTATCACGAAACGAATGTGGGGTAAGTTTAACGTTAATAGTTATAAACATTTTTTTTTCTTTTGATTCTAATACATTAAATTTTTTATTAGTACGAGACGACAAGGGTATCAGAATTAAAACAGATTTTAGAGAAGGTTCGGCAAAAGGCAGAATAAACCAAACATAAAAGGCACAATTATAATAGGTATATATATATATACACATATATATATATACCTATATATATATATATATATATATATATATATATATATATATATATATATATATGTATATGTATATATATACAGGCGATAATTGAACGCTTGAAAATAGTCGTTATTTTTAATAAAATTATAAAGTGCAATAAGCTGTCAAGATTACTTATATACCTGCATATATAATGCGTAAATTGAAAGTAATGTGCTCTAATACTTCATAATTTCATTAAAGAAAAATACTTAAAATAAAAAATTTTCATTGATATACTTATTTACTCTTACATATATAGACTGAACAAAAATCAGCTAGCACACATTCTTTACTCAAAATCAATATTCAATTTTTTAATTTTAGATATATGTATATATTTATGACAGACTAATTGTAACTTAAAGAATTAACGATATTAAAGTCTCATAATTTTAAATAAATACATTAGCAGTATTAGCGAAAGAAATTAATTTCTACAAAAGAATAATGATATAATATTAAAACATTTGCCATATATATAAGAAGACAAGTTTTAAATCGACTATCATATTCGTGAACATTTTGTTTAAAATTAAATGCCTTTGTTATTAATATCGCGTTATGTTTATTTTGAAGCTATCATTATACATTAATTAATAACAGACATAAATAGTTATCCGTCTGTGTATATATATCATTTCTTATATATAATCTTAGAATTATATATTCGATATATTACACATAATTTTTCTGAATACTCCTCCAATCGGAATCACATCATGACGTGAACACATCGATAAGTATAATAATAATAATATTATTGTATAGAATTTTCAATTCTTAGCAAAGCTCCTTTCACAAACACATCACCCAGTTATTATTATTATTAGCTATGTTTATTATATATTGCTTCTATGCGAAGCATGTTTAGTGGCGTTTAATAATAATAATAATAATAATAATAATAATAATAAAAAAAAAAAAAAAAAAAAGCAGTAAAGATTTCTGCGCATTTTACGTACGTCAATTGTGCGTCAATTTATAATCTAAATTAACAATGTAATAATAATAATAATAATGATATTGTAATAAATCGATTGAGATGGAACATAATTGTTTCTTCGTCCGAATAATTTGTTAAAAAATACAATCGAATACAATTTTAATATAAATGCAATTGATCTTATTTTGTTATTCTCCTTTTAAATTATATTATAAACAAAATAAATACTTAATGCATTTTATAATGTATAAAAAATGTATGCCAATAAAAGGCCTATAAAGTGTCCTTCGAATAGTTCATTTTTGGAAAAAACTAGATGCTAAAATTCATACGTCCTAAATCCCAATGTTATGAATATCTAAAAGTTTGTAAAAATGTTGTATAAAATTTGTCTAGAAAATTGGTAATCAATCTAAAAAATCGACACAAGTCTCTATATATGATTCTATTAACAGTGAGAGATGATTATAATAACAGCTCAGTGATACAATGCTATGAATTGGTCATTCGTGAATGTCTCACACGTTTTTCATTAGAAATAACATTGGTTTATATGACAATTATTATATAATGTTTATCATTATTAGATCGGTTATTACTATCAATAATAATAATAATAATAATGATAATCATTATTATTATCATCACAAATCAGCACTACCATTTTTAATACTCCAAAATGAAGATACTTTCGAGAGTTATTCTAAGATAACTTTTTTAAAAGAAATGTATATTCTAATTACAAATGATTTAATTCATTCTCATTTATCATAGAAACGTATGGAAATAAAAGGAAAAGAAAAAGAAAAAAGAAATTGACAAATTGGAATGTGGTATTATCAACTTTAAAATTCGTATAATAAAGTAACAGAGAAATGATACATGTAACATTAAAAAAAAAAAAAATAAAATAAAAAACAAAACTATATTTAGAAGATTATTATTTTGCTAATTGCTTTTCTTTTCTTCTTTAGTTATATTGTTTCTTTTTAAATGTATGTATATATATATGTAATAATTGCACATATTTGTAAATTGCTCGTTTAATGAAAGGATATTTTAAATATTTAATCATTTTGATGTAAAACATTTGTGCGTAACGTGTAGCTTTCACAGTAGCTCTTAATTACGAAATCTATATTAAAGAAAAAACGACAATAAATTTTATCGACTTGAGTTATTCGTGCATCAGCTGCCACTGTTTGTTGGATACGCTTTAATAGAAGAATTTATATATATATATTTATATATATATATATATATACTTTTCTTTTTATATCGTATATATAAATCATAAAAGTTCCAAGATTAACATCTTACAAATAAAAACTATATATATATATTAATCAAGAAATATATACTGAAGGTTGTGTTAAAATCTTAACAAATTCCAGGCTTCACTTTGAAATATTGTTAATAACTGAGAAACCTTTGATAAAGTTTAAACAAATCGCATACTACATCTTGTTGTTAATAATATAAATGTAAACTATATATATAACTGATATTTTTCTTTTCTTTCTTTTTTTTTTGTTGTTTTTTTTTTTTATATTTACATAATATTTTTTAAGGCTGCAATAAATTGTACTTATGCTCAAATATATTATCATTACCTGTAATAAGACATAACATTACAACTATAACATAAATTTCGAATATAAAACAAACATATTATTAAATCTCTTCATAAACCAATCAATCATTAGACACTTGTGACTGTTGTATGTGAGACATTTACAACTCCAACATTATTGATTTTGCAGACATATACATACATACAAATAATAATAATGCAAGTACATACGTTTTATCTCGCAACAAAAGAAAATGTCTCTTTTTTTTTTTTTTTTTTTTTTTTTTTTGTCAGTTTCTGTAATTATATGAAGGATTAAGATCGTAATATTCTAAACAATCACCTTCTTTAGTCACATTTTTAAAGAGGTAAAAAGTTTAATGCCTATGGAAAAACATATTTTTGGCTGTCGAGGATGATATCTATGAAACAAAAATTTTCGTATATCTTTCAATATATGAATACATATATATATATACGTAATTGTCATGGGTAAAAGTAAAATGTTAATAGAGATCTAAGAGGTATCAATTATTTTAAAAGAAAAAAGAAAAAAGAAAAAAGAAAAAAGAAAAAGAAAAAACAAACGAAATTACGATAATTTTTGATTTTTCCATATCTTGTTTCCTATCCTGAGGACAATGCAACTGTATATAAAAATGACTAAGCGCGTAAGATAACATCTACACGTTAGATATAAAATTATGTATTACAGCAAAGAGAGAGAATAAGATAGAGAGAAAAGTTCCTTTAAATGTTTTGTAATCTATTTAATAAATAATAATAGGTAAAGCTCAAAAATTGACCTTGGAAGTTGAAACGATTTAAATCGTCGTTTTTTTTCCTTTACATCCATTTGATCAACAGTTTATATATTTATATATGAATAATTTTGAAGATAGATCTATTTTTTTGTTCACATGAATTATAGATCATGTTTCTACGTATTTTTGGAATATTAAGAGAATCCAAGGTCAAAATGTGAGAAGCGACGACAAAACGACGACGGAGCGATAATGGAATGACAATGGAACTTGACAATGAAGCGATTATAAAAGCGAGATAATGAAGCGAGAAGTAGAAAGATATATATATATATATATGTATGTATATATATATATATATGTTGTGTGTGTATGTGAATGAATACAAGTAGTATACAACCTACTGGGTAGTGGCCTCCAAATCCTCCTTAGATGGAACAGACCTTAATCGATGAGAATACCAATGAAATCAACTAAACTTAGCTTAATATTTGGTGATTAGCAAAACCTATAAAAGCAGACTGAACGTTGTAATGATAATGTATATGAAAAAAAAAGAAAAGTATAAGTGAGGAGAAGGAAAAAAAGGACAATTCGACTGTCTCTTTGATCATCCGCCAAGCAATTCTGTGTGTATGCTTTCTTTTACAAAATTACCAAAAACCTCCCGCACTACGTCCACCAGGTGGATTGTTGACACGAATGCAAGCTCTTCGTGCCTCTTCGACGTCCTCTGTAATAACAAAAACATATTTTACATTTAATTATTCATATCGAGTTTTATCTATAAGGATTATACAACAAACAGTATGTTTGTTTTAAATTATAAATCCTCGAATTAAATAAGAAACTTATGTTATTCACCGCTGATAGAGAATGTAGAATCCTGTAAATTTCTTTGTCCTTCTAATCGAGGACCTTTCGATGATGGCGTCATAATTGCAGAGTCAGGTAAAGTGGGTATACAATCGACTGGTGCTAATTTCGGTTTAGGACTTTCATGAGTACCGTTTGTTTGATTATTATGCAAAGCAGCTGCTGCGGCTGCTGCCTTTGCTGCTTCTCTAGCTTTAGCAATAGCAGCATCCTCCTCGGCATACTTTTTTGCTTCTGCTTCCGTTCGTGGTACACCTCTAGGTCTCTGAAAGAAACCAATGTATATATATATACATACATTGATCTCCTGCTTTCTAATTTATTTACAAACAATATATATATACCTTCTCACGTTCTTCTATCATGTCGTATACATAATTGCAGAACGTCGGTGTCTCTACGAACTTTCCAAAACCATGAACGGCTTTTAATTCACACTCGTCCACACATACACGACCGTTTACGATAACGTATTCAGGTACACCATGAACTTCCATACCCTATTTTAAGATCAAACATAAAAAAAAAAAAAAGATAATAATCAAATAATATATGTAAATGTTGATGTATATTGTGAAATCAGTGTTCAAATAATCACCTCAAAAATATTAAAATCAACAGCTTGTACATGAGTCTGAGCTGAAATCGTACGTTTCCTATTAGGATCCCAAACAACGATGTCGGCGTCAGAGCCTACAGCTATCACTCCTTTTCTAGGATAAATATTAAATATTTTCGCTGCGTTTGTACTGGTAACTGCAACAAATCTCGTAGGATCCATAATTCCTGCGTGTACTCCTTTTTCCCATACCACGGACATTCTATCCTCGACTCCGTTAACTCCATTTGGTATTTTGGAAAAGTCATCTTTACCCAAAGCTTTTTGTTCGGTATTGAAGGTACAATTATCACTGCCAGTTAATTGAAGACCATCCCTAATCAAATTCATATGAATTAATTCTAAAATCCAAGTAAATAATATATTATATGAAAATATCTCAACATAATAATTATGTATATTTATCGATTACCTTGACATCGAAGACTCGGCTAAAAGTTTTAATTTAAAATGAAGAAAGAAGAAACGCAACAATATATTCGCCAATTGAGAAATATTAGTTGTCTATAAAATGATCAACGACGAGAGTTAATCGTCTATGTAAATTTTAACATTGTAAACTATTGCATAAAAAAAAAGAAAAAAAAAAAAAAAATAAAAAAAAAAAAAACAACTTGTGCAGTAAACGCTCAATTAAGTATATAATACGATGTGTGCAACTTCCCACGCTGCATAAATGAAAATGAAGATCAGTTGATCAGACTAATGTGTCATAGTCTTTTACTGGCTCTATGTCTTGACATAGACAAATACACATGTATGTAACTTTACACAAATACACATGTAGGTCGTTAAGAAATTCATTTTAGAGCAAAAATGTAGAAAGAAAAGAAAAGAAAGGGAAAAAAAATCTACTTCGAGGAGATCTAATCTCTCTTTTTTTTTTTTTTTCTTTTTTTTACTTACTGAGCCAAATGTTCGATTAGATATGCAGGTGTAGTCGAATCTGGCCTTAGAGGTGGACTAGTTACAAAACTTCTTGCTTTTTCGATATCTTTTCCGTATTGTTCAGTACCATCGATACCCACATTACTTGCTAGAGTTTCTCCAAAGACGATGACACCTTCGGTTCTTTTCGCGGACACAACATCGGCAGCTGACTTGCTCGACACCGCTGAGATATACAGTGGACTATTCACCTAAACGCGATATTGATATATCTCTCATTGGAATTATTATTACATTTTTCTAACTGATCTTTTCCCCATCAAATATTAATAATAATAATAATAATAATGATAATAATAATAATAATAATAATAATAATAATAATAATAATAATAATAATAATAATAATAATAATAACTATAATAATAATAATAATAATCAAGCGATAACTATACATTTACCTACACATCAAAGTTTGATAATGAGTGCATTAATCCATACATATGTAAATACCATTACTTTCTATTTCTTTGGCAAAATATATAATAACATATAATAGTGCCGATTATATAACTAATCATCATTCCAATAAGGCCAACGAAATGGAACACAAGTAAATATAAAATTAGCTACTGGCCAAGAAATAGCAGCAAGCATGCTCAACGAATTTCGAAGGTAAAGTTCGGATATAAAGGAAATTTCTAAATATACATTTTTGGCCCCGCACGCAAAGAGAGGAAGGAAGCTTTATGAGATTTGAAACGTCAATAGGGAGGTCTAGATAACAGCAATTGGCCTATTTTATTGAAATTTAACTTTCTCGGATGTTAACAGTTAATTTAGTTTATGTGTGGTGTTAAAGATAGGTAACTATCAGTTGTACTAAGTAACAGATAACACGCAAAGGATTGATATAATGAAAAGTATTACAAAAAAAAAAGAAAAAAAAAAAAGAATAAAAAAAAAAGGAGGTCGAGGTAATTGTTCTACATAAAATTTATCTTCGGAAGCCGTTCATCGGATGTCAAGGTCACCGTAAAATAAATATTACAGTGGCTTCACGACTCACCTTGCCAAATAATTTAAAAGTACAAGAGGTGTATTCGGGTCTGGCCTAAGAGGTGGACTTAAAACGTGTCCCGCGGCGTGGCTCCAACATTTATGCGTGTAGTTGGTACCATCAGTACCAACAGCAGCTGCCAAGGTCTCGCCAAAGACGCAAACATTGCGTTTACGAGCAGCTTCCACGGCTTCTGCGCCACTACGACTCATCACATGCACTACGTACAGCGGACAATTTACCTAAGCGTGCAAAAAGTTACTCTCGCTGGCTCGCATCCCTAATTTTTTATATACTAATATAAAACTACACACACACACATATATATATATATGTAAAAAAACATTCTTATATATATATATATATATATATATATATATATAAAATTGTCTTTTTTTACACATGTACTATATATAGATTAAAAATATCTAAATATTTCTGTTTCTTTTCTTTCCATTGTTTTTATATAAAAATATTTGTATATAATATTGTATATATACATATATATATATATATATATATATATATATATATATATATTTATTTATTTATCTTTTATTTATTTGTCTTTAAGCCTAACGCAAATACTACTTATCAAAAATAAAGTGCCCAAATATAAATAATACTTTTTATTAATATCTAAAGTAAAAAAAAAGAAAAATAAAAATTATTTTCATTTACTTACGATATACTTTACGTATAAGGAATACATGCAGACATAAGTGCAGGACACTTCGAAAATGTGATACGTGCAAGAGACGGATAAGAATACACATACAAAAAAAAAAAAAAAAGAAAAAAAAACGATGAAAAAAAGAACAAAAAAAGAAAAAGAAAGACAAATAAATAAAAGTTCTTTTACAAGAATAAACTAATGCAATTAAATAGACGAGCTAATGGCATGAGGAAGTCACATTGCGAGGCTTGTTTTAGAACTTTAGCATACCTGACTTGCTATCATACAAGCTCTGGTCACTGCTTCCGCTTCAACTTCTTCAGGTCGTGACATTTCATGACCTTCTGGTCCGGTCACTCCAGCAGCTAATAATTTTTTAATATTCTAAAATAATAATAATAATAAAAAATATATATATACATATCTTTTTTAGTTTTCTCTTTATACCAAAAAATGATTATAATCATCATAAATGATTATTATAATTTATCTACCTCAGCAATAATATCGCCATTTTCGGCATGAACCATAGCCAATGCTCCCAATTCTTTACAAGCTTTGAATACTTCGATTAAATCAATATCCCTCAACATGAAAGAATAAGTCATGAACGTTTTAAAACTGTTTACGCCGTGTTCTTTCGTCAATAACGTCATTTCTTCTTTTATCTGAAAAGAAAAAAACAAAAAAGAACAAAAAAAAAAAAAAAAAAAAAAAGAAACAAAAAGAAAAACAAAAAAAACAAATTGTAAAAATTATGATTAATTGTTACGAATTAATTCTCGTTCTTTCTAGATCATTTTAAAATCCATAAAGAACGAAGACAGATAGGATTAAATAAAGATTATAGAGATCATTCTAGGTGATCTAGAAAATCATTCTAGATCATTCTGAGATCTATAAAAGTGAAGACATATAGGATCAAATAAGGAATAGTAATTAATTCCATTCATCCGATCGCTACTTATGCGATTTCCTCATCCTACGTTTTAGTATTCAGTTAACGATCGAAGTTACGGTTACAAGTCAGGACTACTACATAGAGACTACTAGAGACTTGCAATCACCGGATTGGGAAATTAAAGTTCTTGCGTTGTCCTTATCTGTAAATCATTCGATCCGATGCACTCCTACTATTTTTGGAAAATTTAAATATATAAAAAAACAAAAATATTTTGAACCTAAATATATACGTACACAGAACATACATACATACATACATACATACATACATATATATATATATATATATATGTAATAAATTTTATATATGTTATGTAATAAGAGAAAAGAGGTCGACCGACAAAGATAGGAAAAGAGAAACTTTCTTTTCTAGAAAAGGATTCATCTTATGGCAATTATCTCATTCTGAATGACTAACAGGGAGGAGCATGAGCCGTATCGGACTTGACACAATGACCTCGCGAATCGTGTAACAAGACTATCTTCTTAACACATTGAAATAACTCGTGAGATAGGAAAAAACGAATAGTTCATTGGAATGAGTAAAAAGTGACCGTGAAAACAGACAATTTATCATCTGTGATGGTATTGTATTCCGAGCGATTCTTCTTTTTTTTTTTTTTTTTTTTTTTTTTATTGATACGCATATACAATATCGTAATGTCATTTTTTAAAAATAAACTATAAATAAAATGCTACAATAAAAATATTATAAAGTATCATTTCTTCTTGTATTAAAAATAAATATAAAAATTAAAAATGTTCAATAATATTTTCTTATATTATAAAAATAAACATTAATAAATGCTTACTTTTGGACTCCAGGATGTAACAGCCACGTGAAGAGCATAATCACAGCAAACCTTTTCATCCGCAATCTGTCTATACCTCTCATAAGCTTCGAGAATAGTTTCATCCTTTTGAGGGAAGGCAAAATCGATAATCATCGTCGTACCACCGGCGACTGCCGCTTTCGTGCCTTGATAAAAATCATCGACTGTTTTGGCACCCATTAATTCCAATTCAAAATGAGTATGCGGGTCTATACCACCTGGCATTACGTATTTTCCACGTGCATCGATGGTCCTTGTACCACCCGGTATAATGAGATTGCGGCCCATTTGTCTGTGAGAAAAACCAAAATATTTCTATTCTAAAATAGTTCGTTGTTTTTTTTTAATTATAATAGATGTTATCATGTATCTAATTTATTATACTAAGGGATTAAAATTAGATTCTGTTTATCTATAAGAAGTAAAAAAAAAAAAAAAAAAAAAAAAAGTAAATAAGTAAATAAATAAACTCTTCTAAAAATATTCTATAAAACTGTGCACTCGTTCTCTTTTAATTCTATTTGTTCCATAAATAAGACACTAGTTTGAAAATAAACATAGTTATTATCTAATTTATGATCCTCTAAGGATTAAAACGACGATGAAAGTTAACCGCTTATCTAATATCGCAATTTCTAGACCATGAGACTGACTATTCCATGAGAGAAGTCACGTTCTCGTATCTAACAAATCGCATTGGTTAATACGGCCAACGTATTATATGCGTTTGCCCGCACCATTTATGCTTTGATAATAAAGAAACTAGCTTATCGTATCGTGGAAATGTTTCATGCGAATACTACACATTGAATAAATAGTGACAAACAGACTTTTTTCTAAAATGAATTTTTATCTTCTATAATATTATTAAAAGTCACATACTTTATGTGTGAGTATGTTAAGATTTTTTAAAGTTATATAATTTATTTTCTATACAAGAAAAAAATATATATATAATTATAAAATCTTTTATTTCGTATAGACAAAAAAAAAGGAAGATAAATTATAATTAATTAACATGTATCATTAATTTCTCAGCTAATAATACCATCCTCGTTGCAATTATATTAGCATAAGTAATACTATAACTTTCACATTATATCATTTTTATATACATGAAAAAGAAAATGAAAAGTAAAATTGTATTAGTATTAATTGACGTCCATTATTAATTTCACAGCTAATAATAACATTCACTTGTATCTTGATATTAATTTGGCACGTGGTTGAATCTAATCAACAAATATATTATTAATTTCTCACCTAATAATCCCATCCTCGATGTAAACGTCACTATCGATTATACCATCCTCGTTAACAACTTTTCCATTCTTGATCAATAATCGATTCTGCGCACTCTGAAAAAAAAACAAATAAATTAAGAATTATGATTATTAAAATGATTAAAAAAGAAAAAAAAATTAAATAAAACGGATAAAGAATGAAATGATAAAAAAAAAAAGTGATCAAAAAAAGTACGATAAAAATCCTAATTCGAGGGTGTACCCTTACGATGTATTTAATATACGTACACATACATATATACAAGAGATTATGGTTGCGCCCCCGTCCTTGATATTCGTTTGTAGGCTGTTTCGAGCACGTCCGGTTGCGTCGATTAGTATGCGCGCATTACTATAGATATAATGTATTATGGCAGGGTATATCAATCGGTGTGCGCGTGTGTGTATGGTTCTATAAGAGTAGAATTGTGAACGCGCGCGCGCAACACGCACTTCCGGCCAATACCAAATTATAAGGGCGTACACGCGTGGTACGAGTACGGCGTTCGATAAGCGTTCAACAAACTTGGTTTTACCTACTCTTATCTCGTCTAGTATTTTAGAAAAAATGATTCCACCTTCCTAGATATTTCCAATCGATAAATAGATTGATAATATGGCATTGATTGTATTAAACTGACAGATAAATATACTATTTTTTATTTTTCTTCTAATAAGTAGACAGATTTTATCTGAAATTTTATCAGTTAAGTAAGATATAATGAAGAATAAATTACTTATTCATCTTAGATAAAAATTAAATTTAAAAGCATTTGAATGAAATAAAAATTATTTTATATCAATATATATTGTAGGATTAATGTTTACTTTCCAGATGAGAGTATTATATTTATAGACGATAAATAACTTTAATCTTAAAAATGAGAGAGATAATTCTATTGCTCATAAAGAATTTGAATTATATAAGTATAACATTATTAGAGAGAATGGATCGATGATTGTCATTAACAATTTAGATATAAATAGAAAGAAATATGTACACTTTTAAGACTTACGACTAATCGTAGGAAAAAAAAGGGAGAAGTTAAATGGAAAGAATGAATGGGGGTGAAACCAAGAGCAAGGGGTTAAAAATAAAGTGCTCGGTCGCAAAAACACGTATGCACGCATAAAAAGAAAAAAAGAAAACGTAGGCGACGTCGTTCCTTTGAATGGACGCTTATTTTTTCGACGAGTACCATACCATAGTGAGTTCGGCAAGGGAAAGATGAAAAAAGGGGGAAGAGAAAGAGGGATGATGATTCAAAGAAGAAGCAGAAGAGGGAAAGTGCTGAAAAAGGACAATCCAACTGTTTTCGTCCCCTGGTGAGAAGGAAGAGGAGAAGGAGGAGAAGTAAAGGGTAGTGGTGGCTTTTAAAACTGCTAGCTTTTGTCTCCTCGTGTCCCTTTTTCACTATCCACTTTGTCCCTCTTTTATCGTTCCCTAACGTCACGACCTTTTTCCACCTTCGAGCAAATCTTGAAAACTTTTCTAACGATTTCTAACGATAAGCGACAAAAGATATTCTTTCATCGGTGCATTAGATTTATTTTCAAATGTGAATTTTCGAAAGAGAAACACCCAAGTTTTTCTTTCGTATGACTTTCCTGTCATCCTCGAAAAGCTTTCGCTCATTAAATCACACATATGCGTTTCATGTGTCAGAGAGAAGATCGTTTCTTACGATATTTTCAGTCTAACGTCGGAGCTTAAAATACGTCTCATGTAGACAAACACACACACACACACACACATACTGAAAAGCAGCAGCCTTGGTGAACCCTTCGAGAAAAAAAAAAAAAAAAAAAAAAAGAAGAAAAAAAAGGCTCACGCAGGTTTGGTTCATGCTTTGTCCTCTAAACACATTGGTAAAACAGATTGAACATATTCGAAACGATTTGTCTCTTCGTTTGTGTTTTCTCTCTCTCTCTCTTTCTCTCTTTCTCTCTGTGTGTTTCTCTTTCTCGCTGTACTAAATCTAATGCATTAATTTTGTTCATTCATTCGATCCAAAAAAACAAAATACCTTTTTTAAAACGATCGATGATTATATAGTCTTCGCATGTTCCCTTTCGGAACACGATAAGGTCTGTTATCACAAGTAAATTGCTACCATGATCGAATCGCGAATCTATAGTTTCATCGTGTCGGATCGTACCACATCGCAGAGATAAAAATACTTTTGCGAATTACGCATTTAGATCCACCTAACATTTACGAGAGCTTCGTGAACTCTTCACGATCTATAAATCCTTTTTTTTTTCTTTCCTTTCTTTTTCTTCTTCTTCTTCTTCTTCTTCATAGTTTCGATGGAAGATAACAAATCTTACCTCACCGGTTTTTCTTTTTCTTTTTTTCTTTTATTTAATTAAACTTGTTTAAATTCATATATATTTTTTTTCTATTAGAATTAAACATATTAATCATTTTTGATATTATGCACACCTACACTGCATATATGTATCTATATATGTACATCCGTCGCATATCGTGTTCATTAAGGTCAAGAAAAGTAACTAACGGCTCTCTTCTCTCTTTCTCTCTCTCTCTCTCTTCTCTGTCTCATCAGAAGAACAGAAATTTTCTTTTAGAACTTGTATCGAAAGAACTAGACTCTATTACCATTAAAAATCTTACAAACTTGCTTAGTAGGAAAGCTAAGTGGTTCGCGTGCATAAACATATGTCCTGATTTTATCTTTGGGAGGGGGAAAGGGGGTAGGAGGGAGGAAAGGGATCGAATCAAAAGTAAATATTACGAAACATTGCAATTTACATTATTGTGCAAAATGTGTCCACAAAGTATTCATTCACTACATACACGTGTATGTATATATACATACATACATACATACATACATATGTATATATATATATATACCTATGTGTTCTTCGATCTTTTCAAAAGAAAATATAAGTCAACAAGTGTTGTTAACAAAGTAACAGTAGCTTCGTACGTGTACCATATATTTGTTCGGTAAAAAATGCAGAACCATACATTTCAATGGTGAGAATTCCTTGACATAATGAAGTAACGATTTCAAAGAAGAAGACTCTTAGTTACATTTTCCTCGTTGACGCGTGTAAATATGTAAACGGGTCGGGTAAGACAACTGTTCTTTCCTTTGATCTAGTTTCATTATCCTAAATGAAATAAACTCAGGAAACAGCAGACATAGATCACACCTGGCTTAACCGTATTATTCCATGCATCTATTTATATTTTCCGAATAACGTTTTTTTACGTATAGTAATCTCGAAACGAAAATCCCTATGAGATATCGATTTGACGTGTTGTTGTGATACGTAAAAATTGATGAACGGGGGAAAAAAGAAAAAAAATAAAAAGGAAACAACAATGACATACAACAAAAACATCGATAATACATAACAATAATGTACAGTATTCAGAATATACATTAAATGAAGTTTCTTTGATGTGAATGACTTTTCAAAAAATTCTTTGATAATATATTGCGTGTAATATATTATTCATATCAATAGAGTGCAATATTGGAACGTATGCTAAACAGTGTCTTTAATATGAATGACTTTTACAAATCTGGAATAATATATTACAAGTGACAATATCCGTAGTAACGCAAATGACAATATTTCGTTTATTCTGAGAGGGGAGGGGCAGGGGAGGGAGGAAGCAACTGTAACAAAAAAAAAGATTTATTTCCAATACTGTTTGTACCACCCACACAATGTTTAAAGAAAGTTGAAATAGGATAATTAAGTTACATGAACGTAGACGTAACGTTGTTTACTGACATGCATCTCGTTTATATATATATATATATATATATATATATATATATATATATATATATATATATACCTACAGATATATAATCCGAAGCTGACGCGTTTTTCCGACTTTAGGTCGAAGCAGTGTCGACGAACTATTGATTCGCGCACGGGAGAGCTGGCCGTGTTCTCGGTTAGAGAAGCATATCCCAGCAGTGCCGTATTATTTTCCAGGGCCATGGAAAATCCACCCACGCAATTATTTTTTTGCAATCTCATTTATTCTTTCGCCATATCACATATGTTGGGGAGGGGGAGGAGTTAGAGGGTATATGTATGTATATACACGGAAAATTAAATCAGATAGTTACGGTTGAAAATCGAGACGATTGCATATACATGTATGCATTTACATATACTCGCATTTATATCAGTTGAAGGTTGAATTATAAGGAGAGGGAGGGGGAGTTTATTTGTTACAAAGAAAGGAAAAAAAAGAAGAAGAAAAGAGAAAAGAATAGAAAAGAAAATGGTATTAGGGTCAAAGAACCTTGCACTTTTCAATATATATATATATATATATATATATATATATATATATATATATATATATATAAAAAGAAAAGAAAATGTATAGCGAATTACTATTTCCCGTTATATTATTATACGACCGTTCTACTACTCCTCCTCTTCCCTCCTCTTCCTCCTTCTCCTCCTACTCCTCAATCCCTTCTTCTATTTTCTTTTACACTTATGGTGTCTGCTTCCTTCCACGAGATAGAGACTAGCGCGAGCACCAAGACAACTCGGATCAATAAGCCACCAGCCTTCCGATTGCCGTAGTGATGCGACAAAAATTAAAATTTTTCGTTTCTTTTTTAACTAACACTTTTGTTTCTTCTTTTAAACTAATAAATGATAATTTTTTTTTCTTTCCTTTTACATATATATATATATATATATATATATATATATATATATATGTATATATATATGGAAAATTTTATTACGATTCGATAACGTGTTTATTTAAACGATATAGGCTAGACAGTCTGATATCTACATATATCAAATTATATGTTAAAAATATATATGTATATATTAAGGGATAATTATATATGAAAATTAAATTAACAAAATACGATCGTGAAAAAATTGTAATTAATACTTGGGTGTAAACTGAAGTTGAATGTAATTGACGTTCATAAAGTAATTAATTTTAACGCCATCATACTTTTTTGATAATGCCATTATCAAAAAAATATGGTGACGTTCGTATGACATAAGAAGACAAGAAAATATAATATATATTTATATATATATATATATATACAATTTGTTACTTATTACATATGATTTACTAATTGTATTCAATAGAATATGAAATATCGTTTACCGGTATAGTATTAATACAATATATACGAAGAAATTAAAATAAATAATCGAAGTGAGGCGATTTCAAGGATAGATAGCGCCGCCTTCTCTCCCTTACCACCGTCAAAGAAAAAAAAGAAAAAAAAAAGAAGAAAGATGAAACGATTCTACGAAGTTGCCAAGTTCCCTCCTTTTTTTTTGGTTTTTTTTCTTTTCTACTAACCTGCAGGTGGATGGGCACCTTCTTCACCGGCGTGCTCATCTTCTCAGGTGTAATATCGGTATTTGAGAGAAACGTGTTTCTCTTCGTGTCTAAAAATACCGAGAGAAAGAAAGAGCGAGACAGAGAAAGATTTAAGTTTTTACTTTATATTTATAAAAGTGAAAGAAAAAGATTTTCTATCACCACCGCGTCAATTGTAACGTTAGAGGTTAGAACGACACAAGCTCGTACTCTCGAGTCAGAAATGCGACTGCGGTGCGTTAGACGACGCACTTAGCGTGCGCTCTTCAACCGGTTCCCCCACTATTTTCCTTCGTAACGTCACGTGACCCAACAGTCCCTTCCTTTACTAGCGCGAATATTTGAATCATTGTTTTGCATTTACCCTCGAATATAATCGATGATATTCCGCAGGATATATTAGCGACATCTGTTGATTTTATTTACTTCATTATTAAACGTTCTCGATATTTCGTTACCTTCTGCAGTAAATAAATCGAATTATTAATAAATTAATCTTCAATCAAGTATCATAAGAAATTATAGTTGTAATTATTAATTAATCGATTAGTATTTTCAAGAAACATTAAATATTGAATAATTATTGTTATTTCCAATAATAAAAGAAAATAAATCATTCAATATTTAATGTCGATATTCATATTATTTTTTCAATGTCCGATTCGACTCTTTTTCCCGCCTTTTTATGATAAAAAGATATATCTTCAAGCATGGCTGTACGATTGCACGTTAACGATGATTTACACGAAGAAAAGGAATCTGTTATACATTTAATGCCTTGTAAAATACATGGCGATGGACCAGCTAATGTTTCATCCTTTTTTCAACCATATATACGCAAAATAGATAATGAAAGTAAGTTTTAGTTATTTCATTTGCCTTTTAATTTACATATAAATTTAAAATGACTCTAATAATAATAATATTTTATAGATTACAATATTTCATTCCGTGGATATCCACTTCAAGGAAAAAAAATCAAGATTCCTAGTGATTATAAAGGTATAATCTTTTTTGAACATAAGAAACCGGATGCTGAAAATATGCAACGTAACTTGTATTCGAACGGGAGCTTCTCAGAATTTACATATTGGAATTATGACAAAATACCATCTAAAAATGATGCCTTAGCAGCAGCATTAGATTGGATCGACATAGCAGAGGCAGTAAGATTTTCATAAAATGAATTAATTACTTAATAACATAATTGTGATAACCACGTCGTTGCATTTTTCAGCTTCATGGTACAGATATATAGCAGAACTTTTTAAAGAATAAGCTAGTTTTATGGAAATGTTAAATACACTTATTAAATTTTTTACTTTTGATATAAAAATATAAAATAAAGAAATTCTCGAAATTGAATTGCAAATTACTTTATTCTATAGACGTCAAAGTAGGATACTTATATTAATAAAGTGTAGGTATACATATTTTAAATATTTTACAATTGTCTTATCATCACTTATAAGCGCATCTTAAGTCAAATGTTATTACATGTTGAATCTATCAAACTGACCAAGATGAAAAAGATGCAAATCATTTTGTCATCAAGATAATGTGTTTACAATTTCATAAATCTTTGGAGCTTATTGAGATTTGCTGGTATTGCTACATATAATATATGATGTTTTATATTTAAATATGTTTGTACCTGTTCAAGGGTGAAAAAATGTCAATACCACTAAGAAAAATATCAAAATTACTGCCTCTAATTGTAACAATCTGCATTGCATATATCACTCTGTGTGTAATATATGATGCTTTAACAAAATTTTAGTATATTAGTTAATCTACATAAAGAATAACATAGTATATACTACTTTTAGCAATGTATATAATTATTATGTAAATACGTATTTAATGTGACATTTCATTTATGTCTAATAATCCAATCTAATTAGTGGCAGTGCTATTAAAGGTACAAAGTGGTACAATAATATTTCCAGACAAAAAACTCATTCATATTTATATTTACAATATTTGTAACTTTTTACCCAATGAAATCTATTAAGATATTTTATTAATACAGAAGTTGCAGTCAAAGCTTTGATAAAAGATACATATTACATATACTGCTAAGCTAACTATTTAGATAAATATCAAATAATATCTGCTTTCAGTTTTATCATAAAGTTAATAATTTCTATAAGAATTATTTACAATAGCTTAAATAATTTTTAATGAAAAATTAATCTAAAGATAGTCTTGTTCATTTTAGTTTTTAATGTCTATATGGATAATAAAACCATTTTAGTTTTTAATGTCTATATGGATAATAAAACATTGCAGCATAAAAAGAAAATTCTGAATTTTACTGTTTAGTTTCAAGCAAAATAAATATACTTTTTTGTAACTATAAGTGCATATAATTGATAGATGATTTTTTTTTATGATTAAAACATGATCATATAATATATGATCGAGATATGTTTCAAAAAGACCTACCATCCTTCTTTAAAAACTTTGTAAGAAGATCAATCAATTTTATTTTACTTCTTTGGGATGATAAAGCATTTGATAACAGTTTTCATTTTTACATCTGCTTTTAAAAGTTACAAGTTCTTTATTAAAACATAATAAATAGAAAACATTTCGAATAATTTCATGAGTAAATTTTGTAATAAGAATTTTATAAAAGTACATGTAAAGTGTCAGAATTTAAATAGATACAAATAACTATTTATAGGAGTATCAATTCAATAGATACATATTTAATGTATTATCCATAATTTTGACATTTCTAAAACCCTGTACAAATCGGGGCTCTAATAAATAAATTACTAAATATCAAAACACGTATTGAGAACGTGATTTTATCGTAGGCAATATAAAAAATGGTAATAAACAGTCTTTATCATTTGTCATATCAATAACAAAGATTCAAAGTAAACAACTTCTTAATATATATATATATTTATATATATATATATATGTATGTATATACTGTATGTGCTTTGGTTTACGCAGTCAACTATTTCTGTACATTTAGGAAATTACTAGTATGTATTTTTAATACAGACATTGAATGAAATAATTTTATATTATTAATAAATATTTGTAAGAAGAACTTATGAAAAGGTGCCTAATTCATTTGCCTGGTCCTGATGATATTTATTCTGATCTTGTTGTTGCTTGATAAAAGCACTGAGTCTATTCAATAGAAATTGTTTATCATGACCCTCTAAAACTAATTGATTTTTTAATACTGTAACCATGTGCTTATTCGCTATAGATACTGCATAATAGTAATATAAAAGCAAAACAAGGATAACAAAAGCTGGTATTCCAAAACCAGCAGTTCCTAAGAAAAAAAGTATAGATTGCAGCCAATAAGGAAATTGTGAAAAAGTCAAAATTAACAATGTCCAAACAGATTCTAAGCCTCTGAATGGCCCACAAGACTTTGAAGGCATAATTTCAGCTATGGAATATCCAACTGGAATTACAGCTAAAATAAAAGATATTAATAAAATAAACATAAAAAATGAATTAGATTGACTTGCTCTGTATACTTTACTTGATGGTGTACAATTCACTAAGCAAGCAAACTTTTTTACATAGAACAATAAAAAGGTACCAATTACAGCTACCATTGGCAATAAAGGTGCAAAAAAACAACCAAGCCAACAAATTGTTTGCGAATATACAATGTCCAATACATGTTTGCTTAAGTCAAATTCTTGCTCACCTATAAATCGTAGTATTTTATTTTCTGTATGACGTGCTAAAAGAGACCTAGGGAAATTAATGAAAAATGTCATAAAGAATTGTACAAAGAAATCTGTGGTATACAATTTAAAGAATTGTTGACCAACAAATGTCTCCCAGCAAAGTAGTTCTCTGATTTCATTATTTGTACATTCTGTATCAGACACTCTAAGTGATACGATTTTGTAAAAAGATGTTAACAATACGATCAAAGAAGAAAGCCTTAAAAAAATAGTACGAAATAATGTTATACGTATAACAAGCAATGGACTATAATTTTCCAAGGCTATTAAATATCGAAATAAAAATGGAACTGCAATATTGAGAGCAACAATGCAAATATATGGAAGAAATTCAAAAAATAAATGCACAATCTCATGAAGAGGAGTGTATCTAATATCGTTATGTTGTCCTTCTTCCGAATACAACGTAACTTGGTCAAAAGAAAATTCTATTATGTAATAAATAAATGTACCACAGCCACTTAATATTAATAAAACTAATATATTAACTACAAAACGTAAGGCAAACAATTTCGTTTTTTCTTCTCGCGTACGATTTTGCCTTTCTTCCTCCAATCTCTCTGCCTCTAAAAATCCTTTCATTTCATTGTGCAAAGCCTTATGTTTAACAGCTGCAGATTTTTCATTTTGAATGCAATAATCCCATCCTCCAAAAACTAAATTACAATATTGGTAAAATTGTCCCTCACCTTCAACAACTCTTTCCTTAAAACTTTTAGCAGCTGATCTGACAATTGCCACTAAACTGATAATAAAAACAGTAATAATAGCACAAATATATGATAATGGTAAATTATAACGAATGGAAGAACCATCTGCACCATAGATCTTGTGCGTAAATGAGCCATAAAATAACAATGTGTATTCTAAAATCCTATTGGTATTCTCAGTTGTGTTCCAATATAATTCAGAACAACAAGATACACTTGCATTATTATTAGATAAACATATATCCTTTTCCGTTTCTTCCAACAATATTGTTGGCAATATAATGAAACAAAATATGATTAAAAATAAAACTGTGTTCAAATACATTAACCATTTGATAAATAAAAAATATGCTACAATGCCCATCCCAAAATTGCCACCAATCTTTTTCAAACTATCATTCCAAAGCTCCATTTTTGAATAAGCTTCTTTCATTCTTGCACGGAATTGTTGCCAAACTTTCCTATGCTGCCACTTTAATTGGTCGAATCCTTGTAATCTCAACTTTGTTGCACTCTAAGTAATATTTATACTTTCATTAATAATCATATCATCTTATTTAATTAACATTAAATAAACATTGGAAGTATGTTATTGAAAAGATGATTAAAGATATACCTGTAACTGATTTTTTAATTGTATCTTTTGTGTCATGGATACAGGCATAGATTTAATCTGCATTATTTCTTCCCATGTGCGTTCTTCATTAGATAAATTCTCAGATAAATCTGGTAACATAGAAACTGCTGCATCGTGAATATTCGTTGACATACGTCTCGCAGTACTAGTACCACGTGATCTGGTACTAGTACGTCTTCTCAAAGTTGTTTTTGTGTCATTACATATACGCTTGGCTGTGGCTATAATTAAAATATAATTTATCAAGTAATATTGTTTAATCTTCAAAACAGAAGAAAGAAAAAAAAACAACAAAACAAAGAAACCTGTAGAATTTTATAAATTGATATTTCTCTTACCGACACGAGATTTTTTGCTGGGAAGTAAAGTTGCAATATGAGAAGGATCTCTTATTGCCTGTTGTAAATCAGCTTCTATTGCTGCAGGATAACTTTCTTGATAAAATTCAGCACCAGCTTCTTCCCATCCTTGTGCCCTATCACAGCCACGTTTCTTTCTTTCTCCACCAGACATTTTTTAATTTGTCAAAAATACTTCGAATTTTATTATTAATATTTTTCTAATCTTTGGAAATATCACGGCTCATAAAAATTATAAGGTTATAATACTGGCAAGTGTATTAATGCAATGAAATAAGTTGTCATTACTATGGTTATTGTATGACATCCAATCTTCATAATTATATATGATTATGGAGAAGAATGTTTATATTTTATAGCATTAATTGTCGAATAAAATGTTTATGCTGAAAAGAACAAACCACAATTTATATTAACTTCACTGGCACTACGTTTCATATACATTTAACAAATGCATATGTACTTATCAATGTAATTGAACAAACAATTAAATCGCGGAAATTATATCATTCTTATTAAAAGATAAGATAATCTTTTTAAATACAAGTTTTATTAAAATAATTGCTTATCATTGAGAAATGTGTAATTTATTACTCATTGAGCATACAAATCTGATATCTAAGCGTTTCCACATATAATTTCCGATCCTTGATGCATAAAGATATAATTTTAGAACTTTGTTATAATTAAAACGTTAAATATGATCATACCGTTGTATATTTAATACTTGGTGTCTCACATATCTTACTATCGAAAATGATTAAAAACTTGAACGAATATCGAACAAAGTAACACAGTGGCATCTTGTTTTCGCCATACGTCAAATCGGTGACGAGAAGTAGGTATTAAACAAAAAGAATATAAAGCTTTTATCAAGAGAATCTTATAGAGAGGTGAACTCGCTTGTTCATAACCAATTGAAGAAAAGAAAAAACAAGTTAAGCATTGAATAGGTTATTTATAGAGGACATATTTGTCACGAAATTCAAGGACTTACTCTGATTGGACGATACGTTACATTACACCAATGCACATTGATATTCGAATTATATATTTCTTTTTAAATATCTTTCGAAGGATCATTTACAACTATCATTAAAAAAAACAAAATAATACAATAAAAAAAAACATGTTCACTTATTCAAGTATATAAGTTTTCATATACATTGTATCCTGTTGTTTTCTTATAACTAAAATATTGATTGATTTATTTATTTATTTATTGAAAAAAAAATTCTTAAATAAATATATGTAAGCAATAAATTAATTTTCATTTACTTTTTATAGACAAACAGATAGACAATATTTTTTGTAATTGTAACATTGATTATTACAAGAATAAGAAATAATAATTTATAGAAAGCCGGTTCTTGCAGATTGATTTAATATATATGCATTATATATCATTAGTTTTTGTGTACAATATATGTATTACATACCACATTGGGATATCAGTTGTACACTATTAATACATTACTGTCAGATTACTAATAAGTTAGATTAAATAATATCTGAAGTAATAAACAACAACATAAAATCAAAAAGAAAAAAATATCTCCAAAAATTACATTCTAATAATAAAATTAAAGCGAAATTTCTTAGGTTTTACATTATAACTTAAAACAACAAATTTTTTGTAATCAAAAAACATCTATGAAAACCAAATCGAGATACATTTTATTTCGAGATATTTAACGAATTAAAAATAATTTTAATGCTGTCGATTACCCCAGCCTCTTCCACGATTGTAACCGTCACGTTGACAATTACTTCGATTGGAATTATTGCCAGTTTGATTCCATCCACCTTGAACTCTACCTGAATTACTACGTTGTTGATAATCTTGACTATAATTTCCTGCAGGATCATTATAATCATAATATCCTCCACTTGATCTATTACCACAGGCTCCACTATTGGAAACCCCTCCAACCCTATTATTTCCATAAGTTACTCCAGTACCACTGGTATAATAATTATTAGTTCTTCCTCCTCCTCTTTCTCCATAATTTCCTCCAGTCCCACCATAATTACTGGCAACTTCAATGCTATAATTGTTACTTCCACCACTGCTACCGTAACCTGATCCACTTCTAGGATTGACACAACCACCTCCACCGCTATTCCCATAGCTACTTCCCATTCCACCAGTTCCATAGCTAGTACCACTCCCATAGCTACTTCCTCCTCTACCACCACCATAACCTCCGCCTCCTCTACCCCCTCCTCCACCGCCTCCTCTTGCACCACCACCACCACCACCACCTCGACCACCTGACCCGCTAGTATTGCCTCCTCCTCCTCCTCTATTATATCCACCACTAAAATTTTAAATTAAAAATCCAAAGGTTACATTTTTCAATAGAAATATTATAACTTAGCTAACGTATTATAAAATTCATTATAATCAAACCTAGATGGAGGTCCTGGAACTCTGTCTTTCTGCCATGGTGGCATTTCTGGTGGTGGAGGTTCTTGTTCGTATGGTCTTCCTCCACGATCCGGGACATCCCCTATAATGACTTTATTTATGTTACTTCGAGTATTTTTACGTACGGCTGCATTACTCGTCTTCTCTACCACTGCTAAATCATCTCGTGCTGCTAATAAATCAGCAATACCAACATTTGGCTTTGTACCCATTTTTCCTCTTCCCGAATGATATCTACTATTCAATTCCTTCTCTAATGTTCGTACTCTTTCGGACCACTAAATATAAAATTAAATTATATTCAATTAACTGTTCAATTACTTTCATTTGTTAAACTAATAATCAAAAATTTTCTTACCAGAAATGATTGAATTGTTACATCTAATCGTTTAAGTAACATTTCTCTGCGCATCTCATATTCTTTATGTAATTCCTTGTCAACATTAGAAAGCTTATTCCATTGATCGGTAGATAATTCACCAAAAATTAAAGGTTTGCCCAAAAGATCAGCAGGAACTTTTGATATTACATCTTTTAATTTATTTTCTAATTTTGTAAACAGCATTTGCACTGTAATATTTTCTGGTGGTTTTTGAAATTGCAATGCTATTAACATATTTTTAAGATGTTTTGCAGTATCACTTTCATTCTATAAAATATTAATTGGTATTATATATCTTTTTAGATTTTATATGTTGTATTATATATATATATTTATATATAAGAAAAGTTATATAATACATAGTAAAAATATATATAAACAGAAGAAACACGTCAGAAATTTTAATATACTTACAATAATAACTTCTAAAGTTGAATCAGTTTCTTTTTCTTTAACTTGCAATAACTTACAAGCCATAAGTTCAGAAATTAGAATTTCGATCAACAAAGTCCTATTTCCTTTGTCGGCTAATCGTTGATTTACATTTCCAGTAGTTAAATTTTGATTAACGCATCCTATTTCTTTAAGGAAACAACTTAATTCTAACAAAAAAGAACTTGCATCATCAGGAGTTTGAGTGGGATTAATAGTTTCATCTATATTAATAAACGTTCCTATTTGCTCCGCAAGCCAAGCAATTAAACCAGTATAATCTACAGATTTTGGTCCAAGCTCTAAAGCTTTAGACATTTTATCAACTTGAAGTAACGAGCCTTGATACCTTCAAGAAAAAATGATATCGATTGAAGCCATATAAATGGACAAAAAATGATAATAATAATAATGTTTGATGATAACCAATTCAAATTTTTATCATAATTCATATTATTCTAGCGATAATATAAAAGTTAATGTTAAAATATGTTGGATATTTAATTTTATAACCTCGAAATACATACCCGACATTTTCGAGTGCTTGTAACAGATCTGTTTCCATATCGAAAAATGTATCGTTGAATTAACGTAACTAAAATAAAGTTATTTTAATGTTATACATATAAAATAATAACATATTTATGACGAAATATCGAATATGAAAAACTGACGTTTCGATATAATCTACGTAGCGGCGAGCAATATGGCTGCTGCCGGTAAGATCGATGTAGATGTCGCAGTGGTAGTATCTAATAATATAAATGTGTCAAATATCTGAATCACTTTTATTTTTATTTATACGAACGCCAGAGTTCAAAATGATTTATATTTTACTTACCAAAGAGTAAATAACATAATATAGGATAAGTCAAAATAAAACTCAAAGTAATTACAAAAGTAAAAATTTTCAAACTTTAGTGCATTACATGTACTGTACTTACATAGTTGGGCTTATATACATACATATAGTTAATAATCATTACAGCTATTATTTACATAAAAAAAAATCCCATCGAGATACTACAAATATTGTTTGATACTTAGTTTTTCGTGATTTTTACTAATAAATATTAGTTAATAAGTTTTAAATGTATAGTAGATAGGATCATTATGAATTTTAATTTATATATTTCTCATAAGTGATCAAGTACTTAGTTCTTTTATCCATATAAATTGTAAATTTTTTTCACGTTTTGATAATTACTTGAACTTATTTGTCCTTAAATATTTGCATATTTCATACATGTAGGTACATTGTCTAATAGTGCTTTGGGAAATGTATTATTTATAGCACCATGCGTATGTGCAGTTTTTTCTAGAGAATGTGATTTACAATCACCTTTGTACTACTTTATTCTACTGGATTTCTACATTTCAACTATAAAGAGAAGATATTTTATATAAAATGAAAGATTGATAGTGACTGCATATAATTTAAACTAATGATAATAAATAAAAGTACACTTTCCTTAGTTTGAACATAGATGACAAGTAATATTGTATTGAGAAATAGTTACAAGTCAGTCACTTTTCAGAAAGATATTTAAAGATCTGTACAATTGTGCTTTACAGCTATCCATTAATATAAAATATAAGGTGTTTAGATTTTTTTTTTTTTTTTTTTTTTTTTATAAATAGTAATATGTTAAATGCATGCTGTTGCACTAATGATATGAAACAAGTTTTAACAAAATTTGATCGGTTGCATCATATTTTACAAACCTAAAACTTTATGTTATCGTATAAACAGTACATTTTGTCTTTATACCAAAAGTGCACCCAAGTTACATGCCGCAGATTACTTCTTACCGAACAAACCTGCAAATATCTTAACAGTTTTGTACACATTAAGCTAATAATAATTAAGTTTTTAACATTTTGTATCATTATAATACAGTGATCAATTAACCTGTTAACCGGGGAGGATGAGTTAATAAATTAAAAAAATTTCTTTTTCATTATTAATGAGAAAGCATTATACTTAACAATTCTTATCCTTACCAAAGTTTTTCATTCTCTATCTGTACCATATTATTTTCAATAAATAATATGAAATAAATTGAAATAGATTTTATGAATCTATATTGACCAATCAAAAATTTCTCCCCAGTTTAAAGATTAATTATCTATGTTACCTTCATAAAAGGATTCACACTTTTCTAATAAACGGAGAACTGGATTGATGTTATAGGGAAACAAAGCTTTAGACACTAATCTGTCTATTGCCAATCGAAGTCTTATTAATATTGTCATGGTATCATCCAACTCTCTACCACAACATGATACAAATTCTGGCCAATTTCTTCTGATATACTTCAAGAATCTCAGTAAATACAATAAAAAACAAGTTTCATTACTAACAAGTAAGTCTAATAAAACATCTGGATCATGAGATACAGCATGTATGAATTGTATAAATGTTAATGTTGGACTAAGCATATGACCTAAATCATTTTGTGGTGGTCCTCTATAAAAAAGACCAACTGCTACATCGAGGCAGCAGACCATGCCTTCTATCAGGAAATCATCTTGATCGTGAAACATTTGTACAACCCATTGTGATAATGGCATTTCTGGATGGAAAGGCATTAATGTTTTGACACATTGATCTAGCTGTCTTAAAACTTCTCTGATACTTCGTTCAATAACTGCCATGTCGGCATCAAGATCCTCCGCCTCTGAGCCTAAAGAAGAATCACTAGAATCACTGCGCGTTTCCTTAACAGTCACTGCAACACTTTTTAGAACTAAGAGCACAATTTTTTGAAGAAGTGGTCTGTCTCCCTCGCCAGAACCACCTCCAAATCTTCCAGATCCATGACGATACGGCAAGGAATCTAATAATCTCCAATCTTTAACGGCACGAACGATTAAATGTGCTAGAGAGCAAGGTTCATCAGGTAAGACATCTTGTAGTGCTAATGTACTACCATAACATAATACTTCATTAAACAATCCTAAAAGATGTCTCCAGATTATACCTGGAACATTGGCATTCAGCAACAGAACCAAATTGTCTAATTGAGAATAAAAAAGTTTAGTATCGATAACCGATAAATTGGCTTTTACAGAAATTATTGATTCCCATAAATCTAAAAATGTTACAACAGCAGACTCATGTTGTGGTGTGTACGAGGCAAGAATTGCATCAAATTTGGATACTAATATAGTCCATTTAGATTCTAGTACTTTAACACACATAGCTTTTATTGAAGTGCTATCAAAACTTTCTGTGTCTGATATTGTTATAGTATTACAACTGGACGGTGGCACTAAACTGTCTGTCTCTTCCAATGGATGAATGCTGCAATCTTTATGTTCTACCACTCTTTTCACAATATCCAAAGTGAATACCATTTGACTGGGAGAGTGAGTATTCACTAAAGATTGAGTAAGTCTCTCCAACCAAGCAACTTCAATATTGTCCTTTGTTACAATAAAAAATGAAGCCAAAACTCTGCTTGCAACAAACGATATAAACTTATTGGTTGTACTTGAAAGATCAATAATTTGATCTATAATACCATGTTCATTTCGTGCTAACGCATCACAAACATCCGCAACTCTACTGCACATAACGCCTCTTGTATTCTGTTTAATGGCCAAATCAAAAAGAAGCTGCAAGGCGCTTAGAAATTCCAAAGTATGATCAGGTTCCCATTCTGATAATACTATAGGACGAAAACTACCATCTGCCATTTCCACTGTTGCAGTGGTAAATGGTTTACGCAAGCTACTCTCTGGTATATTGCATAAACATTGAGCTAATAAACTGTTCTGAAAACATTGTATATCAGTGAATGATTCTCTTCCATCATTACTATTCTCAAGACGTTGTTTCTTTTTTGCAGGTTCCTCCATTGTGCTGACAGGAGGAAAATGAAGACAGCGCCAAAGCACCATTAGCAAATGTATTCTAACATCTACTTTTATCTCTTATAAACCTTTTATCAAGTTATCTTCATAATGCACATGATCTTCCAACAAGAGGAATACCACATAAATGCCAAATATGATTCGTTCCACATTTGCTTTCAGTGATTATAACATTCATAGAAATATCATATATATCCTGTCGACATTTGTTCTGAAAGAAAGAAGATAAATAATTATATATGATATGTGTACATATATATTCCATATTTATTTTAACAACAATGAAGAAACATTAAAAAATTGTTAGAAGATATGTTAAAATATATAAAAGAAAATTGTATATTATATACTATTTATAAAGTTTTATATCTCTATTACATACATGTTATATCTTTTTAATAAAACATACATGTCTAATGCTTTGACAAATAAGAAGGACAATTGAAAATGTTGTTATGATATTGAAGGAAAATATGAAACAACTTACAAAGATGAGATTCCAAAAGATCTTCTTTTATAGGTAGTTCAACAAAGTATTTGTATGTTCAATACATTATGTTGTATATATACATATAATTAGATATAGATATTAAAATGCGTTCACGTGTATCAATAGTACATAAGATATTGCTTTAATAGATCCGAGCAGATAATAAATAGTCCCAATGTTAATAAAGATGAAAAATCGTGTTTGTTCATAGATGTATTTAAAAAATTATAGCGGTGAAGTCAACTTTAGCAGTGGTTGCACATGTAACGCATAAAACCGACGCTCCTTGTTATGTTGCGAATAATTGCGCATAGCAAGATTTTTCATTAAAAATTTCGTAAGTAAGTAAACATACACGTTGGAATCATTGTTATTGAAGTTAATGTTTTCACTGTATTTCACTTGTTCAAGGATATAAATATATTATTGTTTGTGATCGATGAAATTCTTTTGACTAGGAAGTGACTGGGCACTCGAGCCCAGCTTTGCTCTGTTGCCACGTATACATGCTACCGAGTAAAAATAATAAATCTGTATTTATTTAATACGGCGAACAAAGCGTCCACATAAAACGCTTTATATCTTATATCGAGCGGTAAAATATTAACTCGATAATGCATAAGACACGAATTCTTCGTGTTTAAAATATTATTTTGAGATGGCATCATGCGGAGCTGCGTAACACAGTAGCTCCTCGTCGCACATTCCACAATGTACTGAGCGAGATTAAAAGAACCGCTTCAGTAATTGCTTCGAAACTGTTACTAAACTTCATTAAATATTCATTGAGGGATTATTATACAATTATTCTTATTAAAATTAATCCCGATTAAAAAGTCTCATAATAAATATGCAGGATGATCGGCAACTCTGCAGCGATCACAGCGCCTCGACCATTTTGCGTTTGTTGGAACTAAAAATAATAGAAATGGTTATCCATTTGATTTGACATTTATCATATTATAATTCATTTTTTCATTATTTTTTCTATAACATTAAGATTAATATTCATTCATTAGAAATAAATGATCATAGAAATTTATTAATTGAACATTATTAACATTTATTTGTAAAACCATTCGTCCAAATTCATTCAATATTTTTCACGTAAAAAGGAGTAACCAATTAGAGCATTCCCAATAGAATAATAAGAATGCGATTGGTTATTGAAAAGGACCAATCAAAATCGGAGAATGATACGCTCCTTATCCTTTTTATGTAAAAGTTTTATTCATCAACTGTTTACTGTATCAAATATGGCGAAAGACAGAATATAAAATGGTAGATGATAATAAATCTTCTGGAAATCCTTAGAAAATAGAAGAACACCGTAACGATTAGTGTACATACACACACACGCAACACACACACTCTCATGCACGCACGCACGCATGTACGCACGTACGCATGTACATATATACATACATAAACGCGATATCGAAATGTGAATACTACCAAAGTATGGATGTGTGATATGTGTCAGTATATATATTTACATATATCGACTACTACATACATACTTTGAAAGTAATCATCATGTAAAGTCATAATAAAAGGGGACTGGTTTTTTTTTTCTTTGAATAGTCAATGATAATCAAACGATCATGCGTTAGATTTATTACATTTCCATATTTTCAACGTAGAACGATTAAAGAGTATTGAGAATAAAATGGATCACGGTGTAGTCCACCTATATAAGTATATGATCATGGGGACTTTCAATGACGTAGGGATGCTATATATTTTTTTACATAGGCCTGCCAGGGGGTCAAGCAAATTGTTGGGGGTTTGGAGATGATGGGCATACAAGATGTTTAGTGATAATCAAATGGTGCAGATAATAAACAATTGAACTAATTTCAAAGAAGTAAAAACGTGTCGGTACGGCAGGTATGCTTGAATCCGATCGAGGATTCATTTCGGATCGGTAAAGGAATATAAGCCTTTCACTTAAAATAGTCTGCTCACATGCGATAGGAATTTTTCGTAAGAAATATTAACGAAACGGGAGTGTTCGACGAGGTTATATACTGAGAAAATTGGGACAATGGTTATTAGGATTAAAATCGTGTTAATAAATTTTATTAATGTACGATCGTCAAACAATTGAAGGAGTTATATTTTACAGTTTACATTCTCCCGAGGAGAAATTGTCTTGGTGATTTTATTGAATTCATTGAGCGCGTATGCGGTGCCCTACCCCGTTGCACTATTTTTACACCTGCACTTTTTATTTACGCGTATTTGTTCTGTTGCATGTTTTAGCCAAATATTTTTGGCTATCTTTATAGTGGGTTACGTAATTTTCGACATGAGTTACTTCGATACGATGGCCGATGAGGAATTAAATAAAACTCTATTGTTTTGCAAGTAGTAAAGCGTCGATACGTTAGTACGGATACGCATTACGCATCGTAACGTTCACGGGGAATTGATTTCTGACGTCGTAACAAACCAAGAACAATATAACGAGAAGTTTTTCATATTTGACGTTTACAAAATAGTTATACAAATGTTTGCGGCACGATAGTGAAAACAAAATTCATTTTTAACTAGTGAAAGTGGTCTTATTTAGACATGCCTATGGAAGATTATTTACTTCAGGTAACATACGCATTTTCATACTTAATAGTAAAATTATTATTCATTGCTAATTCTATTATCTGATCTTATCTACAATATGATGTCATACAAATGCTAATATAAAATGTATAATATATATTTATCTTACATTTTAATATGCGTACAATAAGACGACAATAAATCTGTTTATTTATCTTTTAATATTTACTTATTTAATGTGTGCTTTGCTTTTGTGTGTATGTGTATATATATATATATATATATATATGTTAGTATGTAGTTCGAAAAAAAGAATATATATATATAGAAATCTTGACAGTTTTATGATCTTAATGAAATTTATCGATTGTCAATTATGTTATACTTAAATATATGAAATATTACAATGTTACAATTATGTAATTGATATGACAACAGTATCATAACAATTTAAAAAATCGTCAAATTTTAATCTATTAATTTTATAATTATATATATGGTGTCCATTGTTATCTTGGATATATAAAAAGGGAAAACATTTGGAATGATACAAATAAAATGTCAAAATATTTTAGCAGTTGCGTCAGTGCGTAATGTGGCAGTACAAAGGCTTAATAAGTAATAATAACAATGACAGAAGTACTATCCAAAGATTGTGGTGAACGGGGATTGCATCAGGAAAGAGACATGTCAGAATCTTCGCAACATCATTACAGCCATCCTCCACCCGATATTATGCCTAAAGGTCTTGCTATCAATGGTATATTTATTGATGATAATTTAAAGTATTATCTAATGTATGTATATTTACTGTAATCCAATATATTTAATGTTTTGAACATTTTTACAGGCGTAGGGGGTAGGCTACGTCAACTAGAGGCTCTTTTTATTAGTGGTCCTGTACAAGGGGGACAAGTGGGACATACTTTTTCTATAGAAACACTTATTGATATATTGCTTGTTCTATATGATGAATGTTGCAATTCTTCTTTAAGACGTGAAAAGACTGTCTCAGACTTCATTGAATTTGGTATATATCAAACATTATTTTTAATTAATAAATTTTGTTATAGTACATTTATTATATTGTGTATTTAAAGGATAATTAATTATTTTCTTTTCCTTTTTTTTTTTCCTTTTTCTTTTTTTTTTTTTCTTCTTCTTCTTTTTTATACAGTAAAACCAGTAGCTACTTGTATAAAGAGTCTGCAGTTGGCACGTGAAGATTTTGAGATAGTTAAGGTCATTGGTAGAGGAGCATTTGGAGAAGTATGCGTTGTAAGAATGCGTGGTTCCGATAAAGTGTTTGCAATGAAAATTTTGAATAAATGGGAAATGTTAAAGCGTGCTGAAACTGCATGTTTTCGAGAAGAAAGAGATGTACTAGTTTATGGTGATCGCAGATGGATCACAAATCTTCATTATGCCTTTCAAGATGACAATAATTTGGTAATTATTATCTTATCAATATGATTTTTATAACAATTAATATTTCTTCACAAACATTTTTTATTTAGTATTTGGTCATGGATTATTATTGTGGCGGAGACCTCTTAACACTGCTAAGTAAATTTGAAGACCGTCTTCCCGAAGATATGGCTCGTTTTTACATAGCAGAGATGGTGCTAGCTATTGGGTCTATACATGACTTACGTTATGTACACCGTGACATTAAACCTGATAACGTTCTATTGGATGCAAACGGCCATATCAGATTAGCTGATTTTGGTTCCTGTTTGCGTTTATTTGAGGATGGCACTGTGCAAAGTAATGTTGCTGTAGGTACACCAGATTATATTTCACCAGAGATATTAAGGGTATGTCTTATATATTTTGTCAATTGTGTTATGTTTGTCTTGACAATTATATTATTTAATAAAATAATACATTCTTTATTTAATTCTTTATATACATTTAGGCAATGGAAGATGGCCAGGGACAATATGGGCCTGAATGTGATTGGTGGTCATTGGGAGTATGTATGTACGAAATGCTTTATGGAGAAACACCTTTT